AGGCCTGGGTACTGATATATTGATAAGTCTGGGTACTGATATATTGATAGGTCTGGGTACTGATATATTGATAGGTCTGGGTACTGATATATTGATATTGATATATTGATAGGTCTGGGTACTGATAGGTCTGTGTACTGATATATTTATAGGTCCGGGTACTGATATATTGATAGGTCTGGGTACTGGTATATTGATAAGTCTGGGTACTGATATATTGATAGATTTTACCGATTCTATTCTGAAATTGTACAGTTTCGTTTTATCTGACAACATGTTTGATAGCTTATTTTATAATGATAATAAGTCAGATGATACCTGTAATGATGAAAGGTTTTAAGATGATAAGGTCAAACAAGATATTATGAATAATCAAATGTGTACATGTTTGTACGACGGATATTTAGAATTATATTTGTGTAACTATAACCAATGATAAAAGCCCATTTAAATCTACTTTATTCAAATAAAACTTCTGTTTTGTGACAACAGAAGAGCTAACATTCTGGTTACACACTTAAGCAAGCTTCACAAAACCTTATACATTGTAAACGTATCCAGAAAACAGATTCTATGATGTATCAATATTAGCCCCTAAAATCTTCTACTGCCTGTAGTTACAGGTAAAAACCTCTTCTCATAAAACGATAGAAATTTGTACATAATCCAATAATGACTCCCAGGACTGCAATACTGGGTTCTCATGATGAAATGTACTTGTATAACATACCATTTACAATTAGTACAGTGTAGATCTGAGAAACATGTTCTGTACAATTTGATGTATATGGTATTTGAAAATGAAATGTTTAAAAACATTTTTTTTGTTACATAATCAAGTAGATTTTATGATTCTTGATTGCTAGCACCTCTCATCACCTTTCACTTCTAACATAAACACAAAAACCCATACGTCATATTCCTTTAGGTACATTTCTGTACACTCATGAAAATATTCAAATCAATATTTTTTTACCAAACATTCTACAAAAATATTGAGTTTTTTTTTATTCCACTACAGAAAGTTCTAAATCAAAGAATAATGATTTTTCTTTCAGATTTTATAAATTATAAAGACAAAAAACCGTTTCCTTAGGGAAAACACTCCTAGCTAATTCTGTGAAATAGGTCAATAAAAGTAATGATTACAAAATGAAAAATAAACAAAAAAAGATAAATCCAGTCCCACTTCCTACTAGGATTGCAAACTAGAACTATTATATAGGCCAGCATTAAATATACTTTTTCTTTGAAATCTGTTTTTCCTTTAATACTGCTGCTACAAAAGTGAATTATTCCATCTACTCAACAACACCTTTTACACAACAAGGTGCATGATATGAATTTTAAAGAACTAAAAAATAAATCCTTTACAACATATATAAACTCTATGTTTTCTTACAACAGTATACAACATGCATACTGGTGTTTCTTTACATTTGATTTTTACATGAATATCTAATGAGCAAGCTACTATCATTAAATCTAGATTAACTAAGAATCGTGATAGTCTGGTGTCCCTGAATCTTTCAAGAACTTTCTCTAAACAGAAAATAACGTCAATTCCCTACATTATCCATAATATGACACAAAATATATTTTTGTGGATTTTTTCCCCTAAGAAATCTTCAAAATTTTCTTGATGGTACAATATCAACAGTTGTACAAAGATATAAAAATGTTGAAGAGATAACACTACAGTGATAACAGGACATGTTAAAACAACTATATTATGCAGGCCAGTTTTTAGGATTGCATTTTTGGAGTTTTCAAATTGCTCATTGTATAGGTATTTTTCAACAAAAAGAAGACAGCGGTATGTTAACATGATTAATGTTTTTACATGTCTCTGCATGAGAGTCGTAGTGAGAGCTATCAAGGTTTCTCACCTCATACATTAGAGTAACTAGTACGTGGGCAGATTCAGTTTATCTCCAATAAGTCACTTCACCCAGAGAAAAGGGGATGGTAAAATTTGGGTTAGCCTTTATTGCTGGCAAACATGGAAACATTTCTGATCCTAAAACATGCAGATTCTGTTACATTTAATCCATTTTTATAAAGTATATTTACATAAAGCACAAACATAAATACATCGGCCAAGCATACAAAAAGCATGAACATTAACAGAAAGGTTGGCACATTTTCTACCAGTAAGGAAAATGCATAAAGAACATAAAAACTATGAGGTTTGACACGAAGCATTAAACATGCATAAAAAAGCGTAAACAGAGAATAGGAATACAAAAAATAATAGGAGTGTACATAAGCACAGATAACACAAGCAAATATCGATAGCTGATAAAATATAGAAAAATAAAATGGTTTAGAAGTTTAACGTGAGGACAGCCCATTACTCTGGTTACGTTGATAGTAATACTGATTGGTGAACATGACTAGTTACTATGGTAACGGATGGGTTTGTTGATACAGGACAGATGACAATTATCACATAAGTGTAAATATGACAGGTCTTCATTTAAAGAATAAAATATGAGCAAATTTAACTCCTAATTAGTATTATCTTAAGCATAAAATATGAGCAAATTTAACTCCTAATTAGTATTATCTTAAGCATAAAATATGAGCAAATTTAACAACTAACAGACTATATATATATATATATATATATAATATCTATAACAAAAGAAAATGATGAGGTTGGAAATCACACTTTGAAAAGTACACAAAAATAAAAAAAAAAAACAAACAAGAAAAAAACATGTATGTCTTATTTTGTTAACAGCTTTAAAGAAATGATTAAACTTTCTCTAACATATCACTACATCTACAAAAAACAATATTATTACCACCAACACTTATGTGTAACATTCATGTTTACTGTTACATGAGGTCAGGTTATGGCTAAACATTATTAAGCATAAAATATCATTTCTGTTTTTAAGTCTTTTTTTGAAGGCAATTGAAAAGGGAAAAAAAGTCTACCTTGTTTCCTAAAGGTCTTGCTTTAAATTTGACATCTTTAAAACCATTTACATACAAAAAACAAATCTCCAATAAAAAGCTCTCAGAGCCAGCATTTATTTTAAAGATCAATGCAAGGTATGTTCATAACTCAAAGGTGAAAATTAATAATCTCAATCAATCAATGATACAGAAACAACTGAAGAATAACTATAGTACATGGAATAGCTTTTGGTTCAATACAGAGATTCATTTTTGAGCGACAAATATTTCCTCTGTACAGACTAACTTTTAAAACGTCAATTCTGTTGTATATAAAAATTGTTTATGCCCTTATTATACATTAGGACAGTAAAAAATGGTTCAATGATGCCAAGAAAAATGAGAAACCTCTTAAATACTTGATCTCATTACTGTGACTGTTAATTATCACAGTTTATCCCTGATAAGCACGTGTTCACAGGTTTTTTTCAGATTTCATATTTTTGATATAATTCAGAAATGTACTTTGCTTGAAATTTTGGGGACTGCACAATTGAAGCAGTCAGTATGTTAATACCCACAAAACATAATTTTATCAAAAATATTAAATAGTACGATTGACCTCTGATAAATTCTTGATCATCGTTACACTGTATAAAGTGATCATTGTCTAGTCTGACAGTTCAAGATATACATTTTGTTTATTTCTCCAACTATAAAAAATTTTAATCATTCAAAACTGATTAAGAAATTTAACAATTTGAAAAAATAAATATAAACCTCAAAAAATCTATACTGTATTGTTTTATCTAAAATATACTTCAAACTACAAAAGTCTTTTTTGTGTGAGCAAAAACATCAACGTTTTTGGTAACTGTGCAAGAAAAGTATATGTATTTGTAAAAAGACCATTTGAAAATGAAATTGATTACATATTTAGTTATGTCGGATATACCTCTAGAAAAACACGCTATTGTAGTTCCAATATTTTTTCTTATGTACGTTAAAAGTTTAGGCCAGATCTCCAAAAGGAAAGTCATACATAATGATGCTGCAGTGTAATCGTGAGGACATTGAATTATTATAGCCAGTTTAAAGATGGGTATGGGCAGACAACTCAGGAAATTTATATACTACCATAGTACCTATAACCCTATCATATTCTATTTCATTACTACCACAGCATTGTTCCCTTCAGTTAGCAAACCCTGTAAGTATTTATGTATCTGTATAAATAATAGCTATGTTAATTACGATTTGTACACTCAAATCAGTGTCTGAATAAACGGATGAGTAAAATTTGATACCCAACACTCGATTTCTTTTGTGGATCCTTGTTGCACAGATTTAAAAAGAAAATATTCCCACCCTCAACATATATCATACAGCTTATTACCCTTGTAGTAAAATATTGTTTTAGAACAATGACAATTTTGATTAATGATTTGATTTCTTCTTCCATACTCCTGATTTGTCGTGATTTTGGTTTTACCAAAAAAACAATAAATTTAAGAATCAATAATTAAAGAACAACTTTACTGAAACTCCTGGTGATAAACTTGATCCCTCTAGAGGTTCTGTGACAAGTCACAGTCAACATCAACATAACATACTCTCTATTACATTGTTTAGTCACCCTGTCGTATTGTAAATTAATTATCAAAATCATTCTATAACTTTCCATGCAGTTGTATATATATTTCTTCTGCAAATTTTGATTATGCATTCATGCAAATTATTCTATATTTGTTCTCGTCATTCTGATAAAAGCGCTAGAACACAAACACATGCTGGTCATGATAAGTGTTTATTATCTCTAGCACTAGTATTTATAGGTAAATAAAACTAGCTTTGGCTTTCTATAAATATCATCTTCTAAATTTTTGGCAATTTTGTACATGCATGAGCCAGTCTTACAAGACAATGATGGACATGCCTACTTTCCCACCCATGTTTTATATAGATATATAATGTTAAAGCCATGCAGGGGCGGGACCAGACTAGCTACATGTAAATGGGCTGGGTGGGGCGTGACCAGACAGGGTTGGACATTCTAGGGTTGGGGCTGCAGCACTACATTATGCATGACTTACCTCAAACTCTTGGTTGGTGTTGTTGGTCAGATTGGACACCACACTAGCTTTATCATCATACACATTAAGTTCATCATCTAAGTTCACATCTAAATGTTGTTCCGATATCATCACTCCTGATCCTTTCCTTGACACTGATCGAGACGTTGACCTTGACCTAGAACTTGACCTTGATGATGACCGACTGGAGCGAGACTCATTGCTGCTGTTGCGCGAGCGATGACGGTGTTTCCGTCTGTTTTTCTTAGAAACTGGAGCTTCGTCCTCGCTGTCAGAGTTTCTTGACTCAGACTTCTTGCGGAGCTCTTCAGACTGGCTGAGAAATTTTCGACCCCTGGCAATCTCCTCCTCTAGAAGTAAGATGTCCGACTCTTCAATAGGCCATCCAGCAGCATCAATGGCCTTCATTAGCAACAGACGGTTGTTCTCAAATGATAATGGCTCCTCAGATCCCAATCTGTAATAGTTATTGTGAAAATAATGTCTATTTACAGTTAATTTGTTTTGGTTCTGTTCTAACAATGTAGTTAACCAATTGATATGTTATGTAAATCAGAAATAGAATCCTATAACATCTGTGTTTTGTATTGTATTCATCTGGAAAATCATATTCCTGTCAGAAAAAATAAAAAACAAAAAACAAAAATTTGACATCTTTCTTAATGAGACATTCTGTAGAAAAGTTTTACTATCTATTTCTGATTTTAATTTGTCTTGGTCACAGACCGTTATCCATTATATATAAAGCTTTAAGTCTGTAACCTTGACAAAATAAAATTGCAGATTGATAGTCAGAATCCTTTGGACGTTTGAAAAACTCAATTTAGTAATTACTTATTTAAATGTAAAATTATTTTTGTATCATTTCAAGCTGCTTAACCGTAGATATAGTATTTTCCAAGTACATTTTGACTTAAAGGCAGGTTATGCTAATTTATGACTGACTCAACATATTGATATTATTCCTCAAAAAGATAGTACAACTGTACTTGCCCAATATTATTACATCACACTATCACAAGATTTGACAGTTTCTATCAGTGTTTTGATTCATATCAAAATTCGTTAATGTTCATTACCAGTTCTCAAAACAGGAATAATTACAAAAAAGACCCTCACAACATGTGTAATATGGTTGAAATTTCTTTTATAAAACTGTTTGTCTATTCACTGTCTCAGTGTCCTGTACAACTTAATATTATGAAGTTTGAGTCATAGAAAAACTTGATGAGCATAGTCAGTTTAAGAAGTAAATGATGTGATAAGTAAAATCACTGAACCATGATGTAATAAGTAAAATCACTGAACCATGATCTAATAAGTAAAATCACTGAACCATGATGTAATAAGTAAAATCACTGAACCATGATGTAATAAGTAAAATCACTGAACCATGATGTAATAAGTAAAATCACTGAACCATGATGTAATAAGTAAAATCACTGAACCATGATGTAATAAGAAAAATCACTGAACCATGATGGAATAAGTAAAATCACTGAACCATGATGTAATAAGTAAAATCACTGAACCATGATGGAATAAGTAAAATCACTGAACCATGATGTAATAAGTAAAATCACTGAACCATGATGTAATAAGAAAAATCACTGAACCATGATGTAATAAGTAAAATCACTGAACCATGATGTAATAAGTAAAATCACTGAACCATGATGTAATAAGTAAAATCACTGAACCATGATGTAATAAGTAAAATCACTGAACCATGAATCAATCAGAACATCAATAGTTGCTATAAAGAAATAAGAGATCCCAGAGGGATATTGGCGCCCACCATTTGAGGATCTGTTTTCAGTTCTTGAAGATTTGTTTATTTTTTTTGTTTGTTACAGGTGTTGTAAATGTTCATGAACTGGTCTTCATTGAATGTACTCAATGATGGCACAAGATATTTTTATTAAGCACCTATTAGCAAATATCATTTGAAAAAGATCCCAAAGTATTATTAGATAGCAGTCAGTTACAGGTGGATAATGGATGATATGCTTGTGCTGTATTACTGTTGACATCCAAGATGGCTGCCTGTGGGCCACCTTGATTTCAAATCAGTCCAAAAAAGGTACAATGCACAACTAGAGACCAAGGGAAACCAATATCTTTGAAATATCAGAAGGATCCATCCAGTACTTCCTCAGATATAGCAGTAACAAGATTTTACTCTCAAAATCCAAGATGGCTGCCTGTCAGCCATCTTGATTTCGGATCAGTCCAAAAAGGTATAATGCACAACTTGGAACCAAAGGGAACCTGCATATGAAATTTGAGAAAGATCCATCCAGTACTCTCCAAGAAATAGCGGTAACAAACTTTTACATCCAAAATCCAAGATGGCCACCTGTCGGCCATCTTGAATTCGAATCAGTCCAAAAAAGGTACAATGCACAACTAGGGACCAAGGGGAAACTGCATATGAAATTTGAGGAAGATCCATCCAGTACTTTTTCAGAAATAGCGGTAACAATCTTTTACTTCCAAAATCCAAGATGGCCACCTGTCGGCCATCTTGAATTCGAATCAGTCCAAAAAAGGTACAATGCACAACTAGGGACCTAGGGGAAACTGCATATGAAATCTGAGAAAGATCCATCCAGTACTTTCCAAGAAATAGCGGTAACAAACTTTTACATCCAAAATCCAAGATGGCCACCTGTCGGCCATCTTGAATTCGAATCAGTCCAAAAAAGGTACAATGCACAACTAGGGACCAAGGGGAAACTGCATATGGAATTTGAGAAAGATCTATCCAGTACTTTCCAAGAAATAACAGTAACAAACTTTTACATCCAAAATCCATGATGGCCACCTGTCGGCCATCTTGAATTCGAATCAGTCCAAAAAAGGTACAATGCACAACTAGGGACTAAGGGGAAACTGCATATGAAATTTGAGAAAGATCCATCCAATACTTTCCAAGAAATAGCGGTAACAAACTTTTATTTCCAAAATCCAAGATGGCTGCCTGTCGGCCATCTTGAATTCTAATCAGTCCAAAAAATGTACAATGCACAACTAGGGACCAAGGAGAAACTGCATATGAAATTTGGGGAAGATCCATCCAGTACTTTTTCAGAAATAGCGGTAACAAACTTTTACTTCCAGAATCCAAGATGGCCACCTGTCGGCCATCTTGAATTTGAATCAGTCCAAAAAAGGTACAATGCACAACTAGGGACCAAGGGGAAACTGCATATGAAATTTGAGAAAGATCCATCCAGTACTTTTCCAGAAATAGCGGTAACAAGAATTGTTTACGGACGGACGGACGGACGGACGGACGGACGCAGGGCAATTTGAATAACCCACCATCTATTAGATGGTGGGCTAAAAAAAGCATTGTTCAATCTTGGATTACAGTTTACATCCTTGGATTCGGAAACGATTATTAAAAAAAAAATTACTTAAACTAACTGACATCTGGCACTAAATTGAAACACCTGTATCATCTAATATCACAAGGTGTTTAAACTCTGACCCTATCACATGACTTCAGCCTCTCTCGATGTTGAGAGTCAGATGTTATACAGCTATGTTGATACAATGAAGTACTTACTCATCCTTGGTTTCCTGTGGAAGAGCTCCCCATACCAACTTATCCAGCCGTCTGGAAAATAAACACAAATTTCAAGGCACTTCTGGATAAAGGATGCTTGTATTCCTGGGTCATTTGAAGCTGACATGGAACTTTAGTGCAAGGCATGTATGCATTGCAGTGCAATTTAAAGTTGACTGGTAGAAGGTACTTTTTAAGGAAGAAATGCTTTTGTTACATAACATGAGTCCATTAAAAATAATATCCTTTTATGAAAGAGATATTTGACGTAGAAGCACAGGACATGTTGATACAGACAGATAATCTAACTTGGGTTGTACCTTTTGTAGAGGTCAATGGCAGACTGGACCTTCACTTCATAGCCCTTCAGGTCAACTGCCATTGGGTTGACCAGCGTGATTTTCTGCTTGTTGCGAGATGACACATGTGCTAGTGGCAAAACCTGACAACAGCAAACCGAAAAAATAATGCTCCACAAATTTAATGTGAAAGGAAAGACTAACTTCACATGTCTAAAATAAACCCTGCAAATTATACTTAATACCTGTAAAAAGAGGACAAATCAATGATATAATTATTTGAAATCTCATTTGAAGAGGTATTCCAGATAGGGTATACATCTTGATAATACTTTCTCTATAAAGTAAAGCAACTTTAAGTTATTGTTCTGAGGGCACTTGGTTCGAATAAATCTATAGATGTATCATCACAAGGACACTAACAGCTGTCAAAACATCCCTAAAATTTACATCCTGTATTTCTGATGAGTTTTGAATATACGGTCAAACTTCGTTATCTCAAAGTCTGAGGGACAGTGGGAAAAGTTGAGTTATAAACATATTTAATTTAAGTGAGTATGAATGTTTGGTATGAAGATTGATTGGGTATTCAATATAAGTGAGTTTAGATGTTTGGCCAGGAATGATGAAATACTTAGAATTAAACAAAGTCTTTATGTTATACGAGTTGGAGGAGTCGAGGTTAGACTACATTTTATTTATAGAAGAGAACGCTCTGTAAAGACCGTAATCTCACAACTTACTTACCCCATCAAACACCTTGGCTACCACATGTTTGTCCAAGATCGGTACATACTTGGCACTATGTGAGACGAAGGTAGGAGCGAGTGCGTCCAGTATAGTAAGCTTTTTGGCCACCAGCCCATGTTTGGTAATCCACATCTTGGAGGACATTGCATGTGGCCTAATTAATATAAAAAAAATCATCAGTCATTATAGAAAGTGGAAAAGAGTTACATCTAAGTAATGTTGATTATTTCTAAAAATAAGATTGACTGGGTATGACATCAATGTTGTGTTCATGAATATTTCTTATTTTTTATGTATAGATAAAAATAACGTATGTGACATTAAATAATCATGGACACGTCACAGACGTCAAACATTAAACTGATGAAAAAGAGGCCAAAATATGATCAAAAGAAAAAATGACACAAAAAGTTTTCAAAAATCACAATAAAGAATAAGATGTTCTAGACTGGAAATAGTCTTCTGCTTCACCAACAAACAGATCAGTAAATCTAAAATCATTTTGTAGAAATCTGAAAAGTCACAGATTTGATTCAAAATGATGGATCTATGTGAGAATATGTAAACACTGGTGAAACTAACACTGTGGACTCTCAGACTGATTAAATAGATGTTCAAACCCTATGGTCAGACAAGTGTATTCCACTAAGGAATTTTATCAACTGGAGAATATTGATTTTCTCTTATTCTATGGAAAAAATAAAGGATCTAGCACCACATTCAGGTGTGTTGTATAGACCCTGGGTACATTCCTATAAATATTATGAATTACAATGACCCTGGGGACATTCCTATAAACATTATGAATTACAATGACCCTGGGGACATTCCTATCAACATTATGAATTACAATGACCCTGGGGACATTCCTATAAACATTATGAATTACAATGACCCTGGGTACATTCCTATAAACATTATGAATTACAATGACCCTGGGGACATTCCTATAAACATTATGAATTACAATGACCCTGGGTACATTCCTATAAACATTATGAATTACAATGACCCTGGACACATTCCTATAAACATTATGAATTACAATGACCCTGGGGACATTCCTATAAACATTATGAATTACAATGACCCTGGGGACATTCCTATAAACATTATGAATTACAATGACCCTGGGGACATTCCTATAAACATTATGAATTACAATGACCCTGGGGACATTCCTATAAACATTATGAATTACAATGACCCTGGGGACATTCCTATAAACATTATGAATTACAATGACCCTGGGGACATTCCTATCAACATTATGAATTACAATGACCCTGGGGACATTCCTATAAACATTATGAATTACAATGACCCTGGGTACATTCCTATAAACATTATGAATTACAATGACCCTGGGGACATTCCTATAAACATTATGAATTACAATGACCCTGGGTACATTCCTATAAACATTATGAATTACAATGACCCTGGATACATTCCTATAAACATTATGAATTACAATGACCCTGGGGACATTCCTATAAACATTATGAATTACAATGACCCTGGGGACATTCCTATAAAGATTATGAATTACAATGACCCTGGGGACATTCCTATAAAGATTATGAATTACAATGACCCTGGGGACATTTCTATAAACATTATGAATTACAATGACCCTGGGGACATTCCTGTAAACATTATGAATTACAATGACCCTGGGGACATTCCTGTAAACATTATGAATTACAATGACCCTGGGTACATTCCTATAAACATTATGAATTACAATGACCCTGGGGACATTCCTATAAACATTATGAATTACAATGACCCTGGGGACATTCCTATAAACATTATGAATTACAATGACCCTGGGGACATTCCTGTAAACATTATGAATTACAATGACCCTGGGGACATTCCTATAAACATTATGAATTACAATGACCCTGGGGACATTCCTATAAAGATTATGAATTACAATGACCCTGGGGACATTCCAATAAAGATTATGAATTACAATGACCCTGGGGACATTCCTATAAACATTATGAATTACAATGACCCTGGGGACATTCCTGTAAACATTATGAATTACAATGACCCTGGGGACATTCCTATAAACATTATGAATTACAATGACCCTGGGGACATTCCTATAAACATTATGAATTACAATGACCCTGGGGACATTCCTGTAAACATTATGAATTACAATGACCCTGGGGACATTCCTGTAATCATTATGAATTACAATGACCCTGGGTACATTCCTGTAAACATTATGAATTACAATGACCCTGGGGACATTCCTGTAAACATTATGAATTACAATGACCCTGGGGACATTCCTGTAAACATTATGAATTACAATGACCCTGGGGACATTCCTATAAAGATTATGAATTACAATGACCCTGGGGACATTCCTATCAACATTATGAATTACAATGACCCTGGGGACATTCCTGTAAACATTATGAATTACAATGACCCTGGACACTGGTATAAACATTATGAATTACAATGACCCTGGACACTGGTATAAACATTATGAATTACAATGACCCTGGGGACATTCCTGTAAACATTATGAATTACAATGACCCTGGACACTGGTATAAACATTATGAATTACAATGACCCTGGACACTGGTATAAATCACTTACTTCAGGCCTTTCTTAATCTTACTCCTTCTGTTATTAGACTTTCTGGTTTCATCTGTAGAGAAGAAGCAGTATAGTACAGGTATAGATAATTTTACTGGTTCAATGTGTGTGATGGTCCATTCAGAAATTTAGATTTCATGAAATAACAATTGTTAGGAACTACTGTTCACAAGAACATTTGAACAAAAACAGGAAATATTAGAATTCCTACAAGAATCTAAAATGAAAAAAATGTGAACCCATTTTATTACTTATTTCAAAACAATACAATGTTGTTTGTTTCAATAGTAGCAGGAAGCATGTCTAAAAGTGGAAGGCATCTTGTAGACAACTCAGGTTGTTTGGCAGATAATCCAGTGACTTTTAAAACCTGATTAGGGAATCAAATCATTGACTTAGTCACTTATTGGCCTCCTTTTTATATCTTTAACATCAAATAACCTTCACGCCACAAATTTCTTAAAGATATTTTTCATTCTCAATACTTAGATATGTATGCTGTTTTTTGTGATGTATACAGTGGGTGTCCAACACATGTCTACATTTTATTTGTTTACCCAAGTGTCGCTCATTCATGCATTGATACTGCCTGTATGTGGTCTAGTCTAATGTGGTTTTAATTCATATCAAATTCATACATATATACAGACATACATATATACATATAATTTCAAGGTGAAATATAAAAAAACCATGCAACAATGTAAGATCACATATAAAATCTAAATCACAATGTTATCCTGGTCACAGCACCAAATTGTTATGTATGTTCTTGCATATCCTAGTAACGGCACCAACAAATCCTGGTCACAGCACCAAATTGTTATGTATGTTCTTGCCATATCCTAGTAACGGCACCAACAAATCCTGGTCACAGCACCAAATTGTTATGTATGTTCTTGCCATATCCTAGTAACTGCACCAACAAATCCTGGTCACAGCACCAAATAGTTACAAACATACTTTCCCCACTAATATCTTTGTAACAGCACCAGTTTGGGTTATGGACTAGCAATGTAAACATTTATTGTACTTATTGGTCAATATTTCAATGAATTTCTGCATTCATTGGTAGTTAGTAAGGATGATTATTAAAACAGTTTATTCAAAATTTGAATTCTATCACATGCTTAATATTTTCGCATTTTCATGCATCAAACACCTCAAACCAGTTAACCATGCTTTCTGTAACACTTGCCATGCAGAATTTCATTCCAGTTTATCATGACATTTTTTATAACTGTATAATTAGTGTGCTTTAAGACTTATTGTTTTTTACTTTGAAACACAACAAATCCTTAGATATAACATTATGTTTTTTAAAGTAGTTTTCATAAGAACAAAATGTACACCCTCCTACTTGAGCCAGATAAAGAACAAGTAAAAATATTCATGGGTCAAATTAGACAAGTCTACTCGATTTCAAAAAATTCTTTTACAAAAGTGTAGTTGAGAATATTTTCATTATTTCTTATCAGTGAAGAACATTTTTCATTTTTGTGTTATTAAAATATTTGGCTCTCTCGCGTTGAAACTCTAGAGATATGTGATCTAATATTTGATAAAATAGGTAAACAAATAAATAATATCAAAACAGGAATGTGGATTATATATATTATATATGGGTTTGAATAACACAGAATTCATTCAGATATTAGCAGGCTACCATTCACATATATTACACATCAGACAATGAGGTTTCATTCAATTTGTAGTATTAACAAACAAATCACGACTGTAGCAGCACAAACTTGTAACTCAGCACAGAACAGCCTTGTCATAAGACATAATTTGTCGTATTATCAGGGCAATGTATATACTTTTACCTTTCATGTCTAAAACAAACAGAATTAAATAATGAATCTGGAGATTGAATCTTGTCAGGGCAGACATTTAAACAATGCTGATAAAAAATTTGGAATATTGAAATAATGCACAAGATAAAACTACCATGAAACAAAATTGTCCACATCTTGTTAGACTAAGATCTGTGTTATATACATTACTGGATTAATTACCAGCCATATCATTGGTGACCTTAGATAACATGAGGGACTGAGATAACGATCATATAGAGATGCTGTGGTATAGCTACTGTATACATGTTTAACACTGTGCTGAGTTAAATCATTAGCGTAAGACACAAGCAGTATATGGTTTGGTATACTACCATATTCTTCCAGGATGTAAGGAGACATATCATAGCGCTGTAACACTGAAAACAAATGGTCAAAGTCATCCAACTGACCAGTACTGATATTATACTGACCAGAAAATGGCCACTAATAGCTAGCAGTGTAGTGAGAAAAACACTGACCAGTATGGTATAGATGTTTATTACTGTAGTATGTTTGTATATTGAAAAAACACAATTTTTTGCATGTTTGAAAAGAATTATAAGAAAGCTGAATACATTTCTTGTGTAGTTGAAATTGAAAAATAAAGTTGATGCTTCCTAACAACAAAGGAATAATTAGAAACGAAATACAGGTAAAAATGATGTAAAGGACGTTAAAATATACAACAGAGCCAACATTTCTTGACCTAAAATCCTTGTAACATTCACTTATATCCAACATGATCCAAGATCAAATTCCACACATTCTTCCTCCCTAAATCTATCTTTTCTTTTACAGTTATATCACACCTTCTTCAGATCAAATTCCACACATTCTTCCTCCCTAAATCTTTCTTTTTTACATTTATTTCACACCTTCTTCAATGCCTGAAGACCTTGGTTTCTCTTTTACTACATGTACCAAGCGGTAATAAAATCAAGTATATGTATGTGGGGAAAAAACAAAATAAAACTGCAGTCATATAATATTTTTGACGTACAAGATGAATAGATTTGAAGAAGGATATAAAAATTTCTTCAGAATTGAAAGAAACTATCAGCAGTGTTTAAGAATAATGTTTAGAAGATTAACAAAATCAAGTTCTTGAAAGAGAAAATATGAAATTAGCTCACTGAGACGATTTCAGAAAGTCAAGCTTGCAAGCAGTAGTACTGATACCCAGTCAAAACCCATCACTTTACCTATTGCAAGCTGTTTCTGTCGTACTGCCTGTTTCTCAAACAACTGACGGGTCTCTGGAAGAAGCCATTCCTCGGGGGAGAAGTTACCGGTGCTGTTCAGAGTGCGTAGTAGACTAGTCCTGGTATGACCTAATTACACAGAAAATGAGAAATACATAATTATCACTCATCAAAAAAACAAAGATGTGATGATGACATACTTTTTGTCTCTTAAAATATTCTTTATTCAACATCCCAAATTTTTGGGTTTTTTTTTCTTTCAACTTCTTCCTTTATTTTTGTTTATATTACTTTCTGTACACAACCAGAGAACAATTGCTATATAACATAATAGCATCGTGTTATATACCAATATATTCATGAAGCTGACAAATTAAAGTATCTTTTTCTGATAACATTTTGGGGGAAAAAACTAAGAAGAGACATGGTATAAAAGCAGTATGTTTTACCACTGTTTAGTATTTGCCTGTTTTGTCCTTTGTTACACAGGGTGAAAACTTCTGAGTGGGTTAACATTTGATATATCTACCCTACATATTTATGATTCCTGGGTGAATTTAATAATTACCAAAAATAAACTGTTTGATGTGAGGGTGACCCTGGGCAAACATTTCCAGGATACAGTAAAAATCTTTAAAACTAGGTTGAACTTGATTGCAAAAATTTCTTCCATGAAATAATGAGATTTTTTTTGTATAACATGTCCTTTTACACCCAGATCACGAAATCTTAATTTGTCAAAATATTGTTTATTTTTTTTTTTTTTTAAAAAAGCAAATCACAAAATTTACCAGTTAAACAGTATATATTTCATATTTTGAGTTTAAAATGTTTTATTCCATACCCACAGATAAACAAATTTTTACCAAGTGTTATCAAGAAAGCATCAGTATTATCATATGACAGGCTCAATATAGTGCTGCCTTGTAATAAGATATGAATAAAAACTAGAACCTCTGGAGAATGAGACATTAGACAGAAACAGTATAACAGTATTTATCCAGGCAATCAGCCTGATAATGTATTTATATATATATACAATTTTGTTTATGCTTCATGATTTTTTTTATGAGAACACACTACTTTCTAGCAAACTTGAAATTAACACCACAACAAATTATAAACAATCAATAGCACATATATTTGTAAGTATACATTGATATATCACTGAGATATAAGGAAAACATAATCATCAGTTATCACAAAAAACAAATACATAATAATGATACAACGTTGTACACAGTTCTATCTACGATGACACTACATCATATACTCTGATGTAGGCCGCAAATCATCCGCCAAAATAATCTCTCACAAATATTTTGTAAAATACTCCATAGCTCCTTCCTTAAAATCTTAATTACTGATTAATTATCAGAACTAGATATACATCTGTAGGACTAGCAGGATGGGTAATCATATAGGATTAAGATATTTGGAACTACCTAAGATTTACTGCAGTGAAACCTGTCTATAATGACACCCTATATGATCAATCATGTTGGTCAGGTTATACAAAATGTTGAAATATACAAGTGAGTATGTATGGTAGTTTTAAGAAGAAATATTTTGATACAAACATCATGATAAAATAGAGAATAAGAATTGCCAGGAGTCAAAACAGACAAGTTTCAGTTGGCAGACTATACAAAAATACCTACATATGTGTATACTTCTGGAGCTCATAGTGTAAACTTCAAAAGATGATCAGGAGACAAACACAAATTAACAGTTTAACTGTGGTAACAATCCCTGTCAAACATTAATACTGATATCTTAGTTTAGGATGTAATAGGCAATGACATGACACTGATTAAATGAAAGTGATATTTAACTACAATTATAGGGTTAAACAATTACCGTATTTATCCAGTAATAAGCCCGTGTCAGCTAATAAGCCCACACACCACCCATATCTATTGTTGTTCAGTAGAATTACAAAAAATGTTACGGTATTTATCATTCTACAATAGGCCAATCACCTTTATTTTCAATGAAAAATGATATTTTAGTCTCCTGTGCTTACTGGAGGATAAATACGGTATGTACAGGTAAAAATATTGCATGCAAAAAATATACTGCTACATGTGATTATATAGGTACTATCCATAGCCATGCAAAAATCAAATGAAGCTTTATCTCCATCACACTAAACAGTACAATGTTCTCAGCAGTACACTAACTAGGGTGTAACCAAGGTACCTTTTGAGTTATGATCAGAGCGAACTTTCCCATTACCCTTGGATTCTGTTTAAGAAATTACATAAAGTTGTAAAATGAATGTCAGATGAAAAATCAATGATGAAGTTAGGTCTGTTCCACTTATTCATTAAGGCTCTCAAATCTGAGATGATAGATAGAATGTTCTTCTCATTCTAATCATTCTGTGGAATTTTTCCCTCAACAGCAGGTTTTTTTTATATATCGAATGAGTCTAAAATAAGACTGAAAATTTCTAAATTTCTTAAAGAAAAAAAAAATTATTGTTTTTAGTTATTGATGTTCTGTAACTATTGTTTACAGAAAATAATTTGGTATTCAATTCATTTGTGTATTTTTCAGCAGATTGATGGGGATAATATAAAGATGACCAAATTATTAGATTTTATCGAAAATCAATCAAATGGAACAGGCAACAGGAAATGAAATAGTCAGTAATGTAAGGTAATTAAAAACTTATTTGTGATTATGAATTATTACAAATATACAAAATATGAAATCATTTTGAAAAATGAAACCATACTGTTTCCAATCATGCTACTTCAGTGGAAATTAATAACTTCAGATCTGATAGTTTAAATATTTCTCATTCAAGTCTAGTCTGATTCTAAAACTTTGGAAAGTTAAAATATTTGAAAAAAGAAGTTGTAAAACAAATTCTTAAATAATTCTACTTCGAAGTGCATTTTAAGTATTTCAGGTTTGTTAAATGGTTAACCATAAGATAACACCATGTGGTGTCATCTACACCTTACTGATAAAATCTTACCCTCGTCCCAATCTGGTGACAAGAAAACACCCAATACTTTCCCTTCAATCAATACTATACAGAGGATTTGGTGAAAATGATTATATTTATTGTGACTATTATCACTAATGATGACATGTACATATGTAACCATGGCAACACAATATTATATACATTTTCCAAAAATGACATTTGGTATGACTTCTGGAACGATCTCTAAAAGACATTATGACCAAGTGAACAATAGAACCAAGCACATGACTTTATAACTACCATAGAAATACACTCACTTGCTGAAAGAGGACTACGTTCTGTTTTTGATCCACTTGTTGGGACGGCTGACTTTGGACGCTGAAAGTCAAGGGATGAGCTGACAGACCTGTAGGCTGAAGATGCACGAGACTGTTTGGGTGGGGCAGGAGACATCAGAGGGGAATCCAGTGAGGCACTCAGTGGTCTCGGGGGCGGAGGTGTGGAGGTTCTATACAGATCTTTAGTGTTAAGGGATGGGACTGCTGATACACGCTCTGATGAAGATTTCACATGATTCCTGTGGGGAAATATAAAGATAATGATTAAGAAAACTGCTTCCTTCAGACAAATCCATGGATAAAATACACAAGTGTTTAATAAATCCTGAAAATTAGGCCTGTACAATATAGAGAAATTTTTTTTTATCAACAGGATACGTTCACAATTTCCAAAAATAAGTCAATGATATATAAATATTAAGCAAATAACATAAGGCTTTGTAGCTGTATCGTTAGATTTACAGTTAAATACGATGCTTTGTAATCAGATGATTAGAATAACAAAGTATGTGACATCTTCACATCTCTTCTCCCTAATGTATGATTATACAACAGAAATATATCCTTCCTGAGTTTTTTCCACGACAGTACATTATATTATTTATTGAGTTTTACAACATTACTATACCTGGAGCACCTTTTTAGGGACTCTACTTCCTTCTTCCAGGAGAGATTGGAACACTCATCACGGAGTTCTTCCACCTTGTCAAGACTTTCTCTTCCTCGAGTAGCTTCTTCCTTCAGCAGGCGGATATCTTCACTCTGTCATTATAATTATAGTACAGCTATGATTGTAATATTTAACACACTGCTATACTTTAGCAGTTTAGGCTGATGAAGTAATTTTCCTGTCATTCAATCCAATTTCAATTAACAAGTGTATCATAAGTCTATCTCCTTGGGATCTTGACAGTTCCAACTTATACCCTTATCTTCCTTTTCTTTTAAAAAAATGTCTGAGTATAATTTTGAGGTTAATAGCTATGAGTTTTTTGTTTGGTGTACATGGGCAATTATTTCCAAATCAAAAATGTTTGTCTATGGTAAGATTTTTTTTATCACTTTGACTTGTAGTTGAAAGAAGCCCAGCAGGTTTCATGAAGTATTACAGCATGTTGTTGGATTTTCAGTGTCAGAACATTCAGGAGCTAAGTAAGAATAGATTTATCTTTACATAACTGACTTCAGGCCCTGACAAAGGTTACTATGGACTGCATGTACTCTACATCTTTAAGTCAGTAATAAACAATACAGTACAACATACCTCCCAAGAGGCAGGCTGGTCCTGGTCAAGTTTGCCCTTCTCAGAGAAGTAATGGTAGCGACCTCCAGTGTTACGAGCAAGGTCACACAGGAACTGATTAGCCTCTGTGTCATTACAGTTAAATGAGATAGTGTGCACAGGGACACAGTGCTGCATCTGTACCTGGGCTATGATGGACCGGGGAGGCTGCAACATTAAACAGATTACCAGTACTGATAGTCTATCATTATTTCTCAGTATTTTTGACAACAGATTTTGTTGCCTTAGAATCGCTGGGTTTTGTGTGTATGTGATATAAACTCATATTTTGTTGATTCTACTATCTTATATCAACACTTTTACAAATTTCTCATAAAGCACTTTACTGTTATTTAAAACCCAAAATCTTAATCTTTTTTTCTTGAAAACTCAGAAAAAGAAACAAAAACAAATCCTTTTTCAAATATCTATTTCATCAGTGTTCATCAGCGTGGGTAAATATGCTGTATATGACCTTAGAATTTCTCGAAGGAGAATAAAATGTGTTGTCTCTAAATATTCCACACCATATATTTACCTGGTCAGGTCGACCATCAGTTAGCAGGTAGATTGCCTGGGTACCAGGGTCAGAAATGGCAAACTGGAGGGCAGCATAGGTATTGGTTGACCCCCAACAGCTTAATCCCTGGATCCACTTCCACGCTCCCTTCAGACTCTGTTCGTTCACCTCCACCAGGCGGTTCTGCCAAGTTATGGCTTTGGAGTTGAAGGCTACAAGGTTAAACTTCATCTTGTGTCGAAGTTGCTCCTGGAAATAAAGTAAAACATTGTATAAACATTAATGTTCTTTATTCAAATCTTAAACTGATTAAATGAGTTTGATTAGACCAACAGACTTAAGTTAATTAGCAGAAGTCAAGTTTGAACTTATAGTAATACATTATGGTGATCTTGATTTTGACCTTTCAAATCTTAAAAGGTGGCCCTTGTAAGCACTGTTTGCATGAAGACTTGGTATGGTCAGCTTAAAGAAAGGAGAGTTATTGACAGGAGATGGGGGGGGGGGGTTAATATTTCCTGTTTATGGTAATAATCATAAAGTTTCTAAATAAGTTTCAGATGGTCATGACGACTTGTCTGATGATAATGTAGTGTCATGCATGAATCAGCCATTAATTGGGTTTTCTCATTGAAGGGTAGTTGTAAGGATTGTACATTAAGACCTACATGTACTAACTGTGACATGCATGAGTGATTACCTGCATGAGGATGAAGAGTTTATCCTTGACAAACTGTATACTGGGTGACATTGAGGATGAGGTATCAATGAGGATGTAGATCTGATCCTCAATTACTGTCCCAAACAAGGCTCGACTTCCCTGGTTTAGCCAGTCCACCCTGAAAGACAAACAGGATCAAAGCCTTAACACACTATGAAACTGCACTTGTTTAATATAATTCAGCGCAGATGTCACAAAGAGTCAAAGTGTGTTAATTTTATATTTTGATCTTTACAACAATTGAGAACAATGAAATGCCCAATGACAATAGCTATAAACTTGAATAATGATCATTATTATGTCTATTGTTAGGGATAATGTAACATGCTAACTACATTTTTAACTACATAATTAATTAAACAAAGGTTCACTTCACTTAAATCAAATGATCATTACACTGACTGTGACACATACCTCTGATGGAAGGCCTGTATTGCCACATTCATCCTTTGTTCGTAGCTACGATGGATTTCAGGTGTCACTTGTACGTGAACCACTCCTCCGTCTTTCCACCGAACCACAGGAAATCTGTCGCAGTACTTGGCGTTCATCAACTTTGGTCTGTTTATCTGTAGTAAATTTCACATTTACAGCATCAGTCATGTGTATTATGATTGGGTCTGAGGTATACATCTACATCTGTACTTATATCATACTTACAGCATCAGTCTGTGTATTATGATTGGGTCTCAGGTATACATCTGTACCTATATCATACTTACTGCGTCTGTCTGTGTATTATGATTGGGTCTCAGGTATACATCTGTACCTATATCATACTTACTGCGTCTGTCTGTGTATTATGATTGGGTCTCAGGTATACATCTGTACCTATATCATACTTACTGCGTCTGTCTGTGTATTATGATTGGGTCTCAGGTATACATCTGTACCTATATCATACTTACTGCGTCTGTCTGTGTATTATGATTGGGTCTCAGGTATACATCTGTACCTATATCTTACTTACTGTGTCTGTCTGTGTATTATGATTGGGTCTCAGGTATACATCTGTACCTATATCATACTTACTGCGTCTGTCTGTGTATTATGATTGGGTCTCAGGTATACATCTGTACCTATATCATACTTACTGCGTCTGTCTGTGTATTATGATTGGGTCTGAGGTATACATATACATCTGTACCTATATCATACTTACAGCATCAATCTGTGTATTATGATTGGGTCTCAGGTATACATCTGTACCTATATCATACTTACTGCATCTGTCTGTGTATTATGATTGGGTCTCAGGTATACATCTGTACCTATATCATACTTACTGCGTCTGTCTGTGTATTATGATTGGGTCTCAGGTATACATCTGTACCTATATCATACTTACTGCGTCTGTCTGTGTATTATGATTGGGTCTCAGGTATACATCTGTACCTATATCATACTTACTGCGTCTGTCTGTGTATTATGATTGGGTCTCAGGTATACATCTGTACCTATATCATACTTACTGCGTCTGTCTGTGTATTATGATTGGGTCTCAGGTATACATCTGTACCTATATCATACTTACTGCATCTGTCTGTGTATTATGATTGGGTCTCAGGTATACATCTGTACCTATATCATACTTACTGCGTCTGTCTGTGTATTATGATTGGGTCTCAGGTATACATCTGTACCTATATCATACTTACTGCATCTGTCTGTGTATTATGATTGGGTCTGAGGTATACATATACATCTGTACCTATATCATACTTACTGCGTCTGTCTGTGTATTATGATTGGGTCTCAGGTATACATCTGTACCTATATCATACTTACTGCGTCTGTCTGTGTATTATGATTGGGTCTCAGGTATACATCTGTACCTATATCATACTTACTGCGTCTGTCTGTGTATTATGATTGTCTCAGGTATACATCTGTACCTATATCATAGTCTGTGTATTATGATTGGGTCTGAGGTATACATCTGTACCTATATCATACTTACTGCGTCTGTCTGTGTATTATGATTGGGTCTCAGGTATACATCTGTACCTATATCATACTTACTGCGTCTGTCTGTGTATTATGATTGGGTCTCAGGTATACATCTGTACCTATATCATACTTACTGCGTCTGTCTGTGTATTATGATTGGGTCTCAGGTATACATCTGTACCTATATCATACTTACTGCGTCTGTCTGTGTATTATGATTGGGTCTCAGGTATACATCTGTACCTATATCTTACTTACTGCGTCTGTCTGTGTATTATGATTGGGTCTCAGGTATACATCTGTACCTATATCATACTTACTGCGTCTGTCTGTGTATTATGATTGGGTCTCAGGTATACATCTGTACCTATATCATACTTACTGCTGCATCTGTCTGTGTATTATGATTGGGTCTCAGGTATACATCTGTACCTATATCATACTTACTGCGTCTGTCTGTGTATTATGATTGGGTCTCAGGTATACATCTGTACCTATATCATACTTACTGCGTCTGTCTGTGTATTATGATTGGGTCTCAGGTATACATCTGTACCTATATCATACTTACTGCGTCTGTCTGTGTATTATGATTGGGTCTCAGGTATACATCTGTACCTATATCATACTTACTGCGTCTGTCTGTGTATTATGATTGGGTCTCAGGTATACATCTGTACCTATATCATACTTACTGCATCTGTCTGTGTTTTATGATTGGGTCTCAGGTATACATCTGTACCTATATCATACTTACTGCGTCTGTCTGTGTATTATGATCAGGTTTCTGTTTTAAATTCACGACACCATCCATATGTTTGAAAGCCACACCAGCAAGAACGTCATATAATTCAAGCCGTCTAGCACTCAGTCCAAATTTCTTCAGCCACTCTTTTGAGCTCATATACTGCTCCTCTGGGTCCGAGTCTGGTGTCCTCTCTATCACAGAGTCTAATAACAAATCCAAGCAACCAGGCAGGGTTAAGAGAGGTAGGGATATCCAGACATACAATTATCATGATCACACAGTCATAAACAAAATAACAAAACAATTAGGGAGATCAATTATTAATCCAACGTCGTCATAAACAATGAATACAACAAACAAATCATTTTCATCCCACAGATCAGTTGCAAATGTTTGAGAGGATCACAAAGAAAACAATGGGACCTATATCGGACATGAGGTCCCATCGTTAAGTGCTGACTGTAAATTAACAAGTCTTTGTCAAACTGGAATTGATTTGTCAGTAACTCCACTGGAAAACTACAGTAGTCTATACAATACACTGTTCATATAGGTAGTTGGGTGTAACTTTATGTTTGTGCAGAATTCATTCAATAATAAGTTGCAAGCTTTGAATTCTTGAAGCATTGTAAGCTTAATATGAAAAAACATCTCACTGATAATTTTGATAATAATGTTCACAAAAGGAAGACATATTCAGAGAATTCACATGAAAACACAAATATTACATTAAAAAATAAGAACATGATAAAATTGATTTTTTTTTTTTCAAATTTATAATTCATGAATAGCTGACAAAGCTTTATCAATCTAAGCCAGTCAGCTGTATCAAATTCAGCTTAATTGGACAGAAGCCAAATCACCTTTATTATTTATATCTGACTGATCATACCTGATATTATATTACATGTGTGTGTGTGTGTGTACGCCCGTGTACACGTGGACAGATAGTTATCAAAACAATGATAGTGTTGTTGTTTAATTACAATGATGATGATGATATTGACAAAGTAGAAAGATGATGGTTTGTTGATATTTACAACATTTGTATTCCCAAAGTGAAGAATATCTTTATCTAATAATTTCATTTATAGTTATTTTTTTTGTGTTTGCAAAAGACATTCAATATTAAGTTCTCTCTCAAATATATCCTTCAATTTCACATAATTTCATCTTCTATAGAATTAATTAGAGAAAACTACCTGTATAGGACATGTCTACTCTGACACCCTGTCTAATCTGACCGTTACTGGTACCATCATACTAAGTATAGGACAGGTCTACTCTGACACCCTGTCTAATCTGACCGTTACTGGTACCATCATACTAAGTATAGGACATGTCTACTCTGACACCCTGTCTAATCTGACCGTTACTGGTACCATCATACTAAGTATAGGACATGTCTACTCTGACACCCTGTCTAATCTGACCATTACTGGTACCATCATACAAAGTATAGGACATGTCTACTCTGACACCCTGACTAATCTGACCGTAACTGGTACCATCATACTAAGTATAGGACATGTCTACTCTGACACCCTGTCTAATCTGACCGTAACTGGTACCATCATACTAAGTATAGGACAGGTCTACTCTGACATCCTGTCTAATCTGACCGTAACTGGTACCATCATACTAAGTATAGGACATGTCTACTCTGACACCCTGTCTAATCTGACCATTACTGGTACCATCATACTAAGTATAGGACATGTCTACTCTGACACCCTGTCTAATCTGACCAATACTGGTACCATCACACTAAGTATAAGACATGTCTTGTCTGACATCCTGTCTAATCTGACCGTTACTGGTACCATCATACTAAGTATAAGACATGTCTTGTCTGACATCCTGTCTAATCTGACCGTTATTGGTAGGTAAGACTATATTTACCATCATACTAAATATAAGACATGTCTTGTCTGACACCCTGTCTAATCTGACCGTTACTGGTAAGGAAGACTACATTTACCATCATACTAAGTATAAGACATGTCTTATCTGACACCCTGTCTAATCTGACCAATACTGGTACCATCATACTAAGTATAAGACATGTCTTGTCTGACACCCTGTCTAATCTGACCAATACTGGTACCATCATACTAAGCATAAGACATGTCTTGTCTGACAAAGACATACACAAAGACAAACCTACCTATCTGAATCTTTGGTTCGGGTACTTCCTCCATAAGTGCTTGGATCTGTGAGAGGTTGTTTTTAGCGTCCTCTAGCTCCTCAAACAGAAGGATCACATCCTCCCTCATACCAGATCCTGGAGGTATGCCTCCATAGGTCTTCTTCTTCAGTAGGATGTTAGCCTTGTTGGTGCGGGGGTTAAGGGGCTCACCTTCATAGGAATCCATCTCCATGATTACAGCATACGCATGAAACCTGTGTGTAAAGGTGTCAGAATGAGGACATTGAAAATAATGAAAGAAGAAGTTTGATAGTAAAAAATTTCATGTATATATTATATTTTGGAAAAAAAAACAAAAAAACAAAAAAAATTTCCATAGCAGAATAAATAAAAATTTCATGCATGAACAGATTGCAATGCTTTATCTAATACAAACTGAAATCATTTGAAAACAAAAACTTTTCAAAAAGATCATTTGATATCCCCTTTTTTTGTCAGATGAGAATGATCGTTGCCATGCTAGTAATAAACAAACAAACAAGACCATGAAAGTGTAATCATAAATTTGAACAACTCAGATGTACAGGAATTATGGGTAATCTCTATACTTACTTGCCACCTGTGCATGCTGCAAAATCTCTAAGAAATCGAACAGTGTCAGAACTTCCACAGTTATATGATACACAATGGACTGGGATCTTACGCTTCAGTGCCATCACCTGAAAGAAGTTATTACAATGTCAGGAGGCTGGACAAGAGAGAGGCTTGATTAAGAGAATAAAATTTAAACTTTACATTAATGATACATTATGTATCTTTATGTTTGAAGTATCTGATATAAGTACATAGAAGATGTCGGTGAATCTGTTTCTATAAAATTATATAAACCTCGCTGCAGAACTATAGATGAAAATTCCGTGATGATTGCATCATCATCATTATCATCATCATCGTCGTCATCATCATCTGATCAAGAATTTGCACTAACATAAATCATGATTGCTGACGTCTCACCGTACATACATTGTAAACACTATTTGTTTATCTACATCAGTAAAACTATTGTAGAACTCACCTTCTCTTTCATGATTTCTTTACAAGTATCTATGGAGGTACCTTCTGTGAAGAGGTAAACAGCTTCATTCTGAAAACAAACAATTATACATCATTCAATAAGATCTAGAGCAAAACTTTAAAGTCTGTTGTTCGAAATAAATCCAGTTGATATGTTTCAGTTTTAAACATACCTGGTAGTCATTTACTTCAGTATTTATTTCTGTTTTAATTAGTCTTTAACTTAGGCCGACATTCTTTCAGTCACACAAAGCACTTATATGAGAGAGTTTCAATTTTTGAATTTTGTAAAACTGGTATCATTTTTTTTGTAACTTCAGTGTTTAGTCAAAGCATGACCTACATTTTTGTCAGCGATTGCCTTGAGCACTGCTTCACAAGCAGCAGATCGTGATACAGACTGGAGACGATCCAAAGACCACACCCAATCAACAGCTCCCTGTATCGTGTCAAAGGTCACAGGAACACATTCCTCCTGATATCCAACCAAATCATCGACAGCTCTGAAACATAGACATACAGATCTTACACACTGACTTGTGTCTTTGTATATGTCAGATTTACAGTATCACTAAATTGTAAACAGGTTTTATATAACATAACATCATTAAGTGTTGAATCATCGACAGGTGCTTTCACAAATGTCTGCCAATCCATTAAATATAACACATTGATTTAATAGCCATAGTTAATAAAAAATAGTTAAAAGTCCCTTAAGTATATTCCATATAATTATCATCAAAATTGTCAATGTAACTGACCTTGACTTATTTTTCTGCTGAAATTTCTCTTTCTTTTTACATGTACACATGTCATTCTCTTTACCCTTAATGATAAAAGTTATGTATGTTTACGTTTACTGTATGATGTGAACTAAACAGGCCACAAAATTTTGCATTACCATTAAATTTCACAAAGTTTAATTATTCGAAATTCTTAAAACATCATAATCTATCAAAGCTTAGACTTACCTAATAAGGTTAAATTTAGCAACTTGTGTGAGTTGTTCAAATATGACCCTTTCTAATGCTATCTTGTACTGGTCAAACTGTTGGGGAGACATATTTCGAATATCCAACACAATAGTCACCGCCTTTTCTTCAATCACACCAAACAGTCGCCGACTCTCTGTTGTCAGCCATTCTAACCTCCTTTTGTAGAGTGCTATTGCCTGGAGTAATCTCCCTTCCAACTGTTTCAGCATCTGACGACTACATGTCACCTGCATATAGATTACAGGGGGGTTAACAACTAAAGAAGTTCAAATTCATCTACTTATTTTGTTCTACTGATGTTAAAAATCTTACTTAGAATTTTTTTACTTTTTGACATGATCAACTTAATTCATTTAAGAGCAGTCTACAAAACAAATACACTATACAGACTAAACAATCTCAGATGTGTTTTAAGTCATTAAAAGCAGATTAAAGATGATGTCAAATGTTTTGATCAGATGTAACTCATAAAATGGTCATTTGTCTTCTAAAATAGATTTGAGCTTAGAAATCATGTCTTGATTTTTTATAGCCTAATGTCTTTGCAGATATACATGTATTTTCCTGAAGTCATACAGATTCCAATTGTCCTGACCACTAGAGCACTTTTCCAAGCTAAAACATAACAGTCTGTAGCTCGCCCTTAGCACTGAAAGTGACATCAAACTTTGTCTCCTGACCTATTACAGTTGTTATTTGGTAACTGTCATCATACAGCAATTTTATGTATAGAAAAACAAGACAAAATCAACACCACACTGATACTTACATTGAATGTTTTACCATCACTTGGACTAAATATTTTACTAAATAATCCTGAGCTGTATCTGGAGCTGATTGGTCGCTTCAAAGATGTGTCATAATCTGTGAAGACAATAATTTATATATAAACAGTTATGTGAGAAGAGAATGTCAATGTACACACTGTTAATAGGAAACTTACGCCCCATAATAAATATCATTCAGTCAATACCTTCTGTTGCCAACAAATACTTATCTCCCTTTACCAGAAATATGAGATCTGTCTGAGAAAGACAAGCCTTGTATCCCACAGAAAGTGTTTACTTCCAAAACTAAGTAACTCTACAAAGTACATGTATGGAGTAATCTATCCAAAAATATAAAATGTCAAAATGTCCTTAAAAAAAGGCCTTCTTCTGTAATATTCTCTCCCTAAATTAATGTATACATTTCAAAGAAATATGCAACTTCCAATGACTACTCATGTTGACCTGGATAATAGCAGGTGAGGCATCTTACTGTTGGAGGATATGGGAGTATGTAAGAAAATCCATGTGATTAGGCAGCATAATAACATATAACATATAACCCATCAACAGGTTTTACAATGTTGTGATTTGAGCAGAACAACATTAGTAGAATTGCTTTTTGCTTTTGTCTGAGTATTTCTTGTTTGTTTGCTTTTGGGGATTTTTTTCATTTTTTTTTTTTTTTTTTTGTTATTTTTGTTTTTTTTATCAACTGAATAGCTTACATCAAATTAAACTGAAATGTAATGGTAACACTTAGATAAATGAGTTTTTTATTATCTGTTATTGAAAAATGTATTTTCATTCAAACTAGCATAGCATATATTTTCCCCCAGTCTTCATATATCACCAACTTATTGATGAGAACAATAAACAATGACAGGCCCTGACCAGGTAGTACAATCTAGACAGGTTCATACCTATATATCTATGTTAGGACAAAGTCCTGGGAGTAGATATACATTTACCTTTATAACAAGGCATTAATCTGGTAGTAGATAAGGAGTTATAGAGACAGGTGATCGAGGTAATCACCTTGGATATAACGAGCCGCCGGAAATATATACAGGTGTCTGTACATGTACCGTGTGTATCGGGTATATTTCAGACACTCAAAGCCAGGTTATCATACCTTAGATGAGATTTGAAATTTGATATGAAAACTTCATACAATATCATGAATTAAGTCTTTCAGCAGTGTTTTTATTGAAATTATCAGTCCCTACAAAAATAATCAATGTATACTTTTTTTTATTATAACCATTTACAATTAAGACACAAACACTTTAAATTTCTTCACAGCTGACAAAGCTTGTAAAAATTATCTCTGTAACTATGTACACAACCAAGCTAAGCGTGGATCTACCACCAGAATTTAAAACACCCCAATACACACTATATTGACATAGTCAGTATCACACATGGAGGAATGAATTTAATTGCCATTCTCAGAACGTGACCTTGCCATTTACTTGCAGTTTAAATCACCATTATTCTAAATCAATTTTTCATGTGGATTAAGACCTATTCATCTAATCAGTGAGTTACTGATTACACTGACATGCTGTATGTTCAATAGAACAGTTTCCTATGAACGGGAAGGCCTAGGATTAAGTTTCTGTTAAATATTATCTGATCTTCTGATCAGAGATAAAAAGTTGTAATCATTGAACCAATCAAATTAGATATTCTCAGATATATGCACCTGTTTAAAGGTGTTGTCTATGTAAAATACACCACCTTACAACATACTGGTGGGCAGGGGGTTGGGTATGTACCTTAATATTTTCAACAACATTTTCAATAACTGAATCATGATTTCCAAGAAATCATGAAGAAAAATTCAAAAAAAGTTATTCACACATAACAAAAATCTGCTTTCAATTTAAACTCACTTCATATAACATTTTGTATATATTTATAGACAAAAAAACCTGAAAAGTTTTTATTTTTGTTACAAAAAGATATCTGAGATTGGTTTGGCTATCTATTGAATGTTGATGCTTGTGATTATAATTATTGGTGTTACAGACATAAATAAATGTCTGGATGATTTATCACTTACTAAAAACTACTAAACAACCTGGATTATTTACTACAATGACAAGTTGATAGTAAAAATATTACAAAATTTCCAGGCCTCTTAATTGGCCCTGCATGCTCAGAATACACAATACGTGCGCCAAAAATTGCACAAAACTGACTTACTTAAAATAAAACATTTTTTCTTTCTTTTAATCATTGGCCATTGGATCTAAATTATTTACATATATACTTAGGATCATAACAACACAAACAGTCTGACATAACAGAGTCCTTCAATATCAGAAGTGCAATATTACTGCAAAAAGTCGAAGGATCCAATTAGCACAAATTTTTACTCAAATTACAAAGAGGACTTACTGAAGGACAGTAAAATATGAAAAGAATATGCCTGCAATTCTGCAAAACAGCAAGAGATATTGTTGGGCTCATTGAGAGATAAACACAAAAATTAGGTTTAACATAGTCGTCTTATCTTCAATAATCAAGTGAACTAAGCAGAAGTGATGACATGTAAAGAAAATATTTACAATTGATGGTGAACGTTGAACTTACCGTCACTATGTTTGAATCCGATGGTTGGGAGGATCTGTTTGAGACTAATTTTGTTTTTTCGGAGGCCATAATTTTGTAGCCATTTCTTTGTAGATATAAGAGAACGAACATCTAGCTCCCATTCTTTGCTGGGGGTCTTTTTCTCACTAACAGCTGGGTCATATTCTACGTCTTGTGTCATTGGTGGGGTCGGAATAGGGATGTCAAAGGTCACTCCTGAAATCAAGAAGAAACAGTGATGAGAACAAATAAAATCAGATAAATTTCAAAGAACTAATTGAATTTACAATTTTTTTAAGCATTTTAATGATACATGTCCCCTTACACAAATTATTATCAATACTTGTGATATTTATCTTACAGTTATCTCCCTTTCTTTATCTGAGTTATTTGAAAATTAATGCACATGCATGCATCCTTTTGCAGCTTTAACTAATCAAGCTATCATTTTATTTTCTTGGTGTTTAATTCTGTTTTTTTTTAAGAAAGTACAGAAGCTCCAATAAGTATGCAAACTTTATATACGCTATAGTAAGTTCCATATCTAGGAAATAAAATTTACTATATTATCATTTCTTAATAATACCCAGACCCTACAAGAATTATATTAGCAGCTTATTCAAAAATATAATACATATACTCAGAGCTTTATAATCTGAAATTCATGTAACCTATATATAATGTTATCCTCGATTCTTGTTTTTTCAATAAATATATAAATATGCATACTTTGTGTAAAGACATAGACAGATTTCACCTAGGGCTGTAATGATATTGAAGTGACTGGTAAATAAGTACATTGTATGCACTTTATTCTTTTTCTATACATACAATTTCAACAAACTTTTGAACTCTCCATTTGATCAATAAAATTCCATCAAGATACTATACAGTATAAATAGTAGGCATGGACTCCATCAATATACATAATTTATCCTTCTCAAATGTACCAGATGTTATACTGTTAACATTGTGTTGATGGCTACATTGGGAAATAATATTTTGCCAATCAATAGCGTCCGTAACAACCAATTCTTCCAGTGTGAACCGTCTCCAGTGATCATCATTGAATCTACAAGTCTGAGGCAATGAAAAGCGACCTAGGAAAGCTTCATGTTGTTAAATAATGTTTTTTTATTATCCAATAAAGAAAGGATAGACCCCCACCTCCCTCCCTATTCTTTCTCTGATAACTAACTGATTCATGGACAAATCAAACCAAAAATGAAGATGGTTGAAATAGTCATCTATCTTATATAAATAAGGCAGTTTATATGCTGTAAATTCAGATTAGTTCAAACTCTAGCTTTCCTGTATATTTAAATTAGCTTTGTCTAAGGCAGTATTCCTAATGAAAATATGACTTAGATGTGAATATTAAAGTTTGGTTAAATATTCTTGTCTTTTTGAGAAAAAAAAACTTGCTAACACTTTAAAATGGGCAGGAAGTCATGGCAAATCAAAAAGACTTATTATTATTCTGAAAGTAAGCTGGATGGGTTAATCAACGTTAAAACTAATTAACACTACCAATGGCCACTAACTTACAAAATTTTTGGTAGCTATTTACTGATCTTCTGTATCTGCTAGATCTTGTGATACCATCAGTCACTACATACAGCTAAAACACTTTCACTACAAAGATTGTAACTTTGACTTTACTGTCATACTTCTGGGTGGAGACTGAAAAGTTTGTATTATAGAATTACCAAAATGGTCTTTTATCATCAGCTATCAAATGTTCAGTGAATACATTTAGCAATAAATGTGAACTCATTTCCTGTGAAACTAACCCATCCCAGGCTTATATAGCCATCAAAGCCAACAACCAAATCATTGATGGTCAGTGAAGATCTAAAGTAGGATATTTACTATAACATGTTTTTGAAATATTGCCACATCATTTCCATTTTCAATTTAAAGTGATCATAAGTTCTTCCTTCATTTCAAGAAAAGAATTAAGAATTACTGTATGTATCCAGAAATAAGCACAAGTCAACAATATATCATGTAATTAATTCAGCTAAAGTCAGGGGGTGGGGGCATGGGGGTAGGGGCATGGCTCATAGGTGGGGCCGGGAGTGGCTCATAATGTTTATAATTACAGGGCAATAAAATAGCATCAAACGGTTTACACTTTCATGTACAACAATATGATTATATGGTCTAGCTTACTACCATACTTTAAGGGCTTACTCTCACAGAAATATATATAGTAGTAGAACTATACCAAAAATGATTTCATTAGCATTATCTGTCAAAATGAAGAAAAGTAAAGGAATGATGTATTACTGAATGGGACTTGGTGTTAATTGGTATATACTTCATGCTCTGTCAATTTGAAATTTATATCTGTTTACAGAATAAACCATTTATATTGCTTAAAAATAATCCAAACATAAACCTAAAATTACAGGTCATTTTTTTCAAAATTCTTTTTGATATTTAATATCAATTATGGTTAGGAGGTATTGTTGTAAATAAGAAACATTTTTACATACTGTTTAGTTGTCTATATGCTTATATGTACATATTTGTTTACAATGTATAATCATTATAATCATAAAAATGTGGGTCAATTTAATACGGGTATTGTTTAGACTTAAATGTTATATTTCAACAGAAAACACTTCACAGTCCTTAAGTTGACATCAAGGGTCAAATCAAATTTTTGATAATTTTAGTATTCAGGTGATTATAATTCACTTTAACTTGTATTACACATAATATGTTTTTGACTTCACGATAACAAGTATTTCAGTTTATGCTTTTCAGTATGAATACATGTTGTTATCTTTTGTACATTTATCTATGATATAGTAAGACAATTTGTCTCATCTTGTTACATTGGCTACGCAGGTATACAAATATTTATTTATGATATGACAAAGTTAAATACCTTGAGGTAATTTTTCTGTTGAGGAATTCAAGTTTTTAAGTTGTCAAGTAAATTACTTATAAATAATCAAATTATACCTGGCTAACCTTAGTCATTCTGATTCAATTCAAGTTAAATTTCTCATTTTATTATGAAATGATAATTGGATTTGATTGATTCACAAATCACAATCATTGTGTTAAAGTCATAATGTCATGAAATCATAATATTTATTGTATCACAGGCACTCTACCTAAGTATTTTCTTGTCTTTTGAATAAAACTGTTAAAATCATGTATAACTTATCATGTTATTTGAAGATTCCTGATATTTTCCAGTCATTTGGACCTCACTCTCTGCCCTTAACTTAAGTAATCTTTAGTGGTTATTTTATGTTTTAGAGTTAAGTTAATTGATCATGAATAATTCATAAAAACTATTATCAATAAAAAGTTGGGGGGTAGAATAGTTTCATAAAAATATGGAAACTAGAGAGTTTATCATACATACATGTCTTAATGTGAGACTCGATGCAGACACACAAAATCCATTGTTTATCTTATTTTTGCCAAAACTATATGTACACTTGCCAACACCTATACATCAGTGAAAGCATGCCAATATTTGTTGGATTTTTTCAAGAGTGTCTAGAATGCCATTACCAAAATTATGACAATCCTTATTACTAAAAAGTATAATGTGTCAGTGGGTTCTCAAAATTTTAACACGTCCCAAAGGAAAACAGGAATCCACAACAAAAGTATCCCAAAGTCATTATTTTATATATCTTGAGTTATGAATATGCATGAGAATTAATAAAAAAAGAAAAAAAAAGCAAAAAAAAATAGAAATAGATTTGAAAGCCATAACAGCATTTTTGAAGCAGAAACAGTTCAAACAGCACAAACAATGGATTGATAAAACCACTTTATCAATACATGTAAAGTTAAATAAAAGGTGTTTTTCAATAACAACATATTTCAGTGTCCCAGTTGAATGGGTTTATTGTATCGGGCGACTTGCTATGCTTATAGATGCAAGGCTTCAAGCTAAAGAAACTTGACACGTTACAGATAAACGAAAGATAAGTTTAACTACTTGGGTTGTTAACATAACACTGCTTGTTTCATTATAGTGGTTAAAAGTCTTGTATCCTAATTTTGCTGCTGGAAAGTGGATAGAAAACAGCAGTATTACCTTCTGAGTATGCGTTTTTCTTGTATGGTTCGCATGCCATCAGTTTTGTAGCCATCTTTGGTGTTCTATGATCTCACGCCGAAAAAACAACTGTCACGCTTTCCCTTTCACTGTGTTTCCTTTTTATAAACAGGCCTTGTTGTTAATGAAGCCAGTTACACTTTCCAATCACTTATCCACGTGTAATCAAATCCCCGACTAGCTCACAGGTTAACCAAATAGCGTAAAATAGCTTTCACTTTTAGTGACGACCTGTATCACGCCAACCCATATCATGTTTTCAACACCTCAAACCTGCCAACAGCCGCCATCTTGTTTACATCGTAGTTGCCTGGGAGTAGAGTAAGGTGCCCGTTAAAAAATAATACAATATAATTTACCTAAAAATATTTCGCTATCAATTATTTACAAAATTTAAATAAAAGGAATAAACTGAAATGATGAATTATGCATTAAATATTTTTTAATATTTTTTTAAAAAATTTTTTTTATTTGACGCTTGTAATATCCTTACTCCAACCCTTGGCTTACAAGCGTACACATGACCCAATTACAATTTAACTAGAACAAACAAAACTGATGACGTACATCACAAACTTGATTCCGGAAGAGAAACATCGAAATGGCGAACGCACTAAAAGTGTGTTGTGATGTTGTCCGATGGTTTCCAGTCGTATTTATAACTGCTGTGGTTGTATGGTCGTATTATGCATACGTTGTTCAACTCTGTGCTTGTAAGTTTGATTATATTAGGGAAATCGTTTTCTATCATACGACAATGCCTTTAGAGCTTAAGGGTGTTTGACATTTGTTGTGGAACAAGATGTTTTGTCTATTTTCGCTGTAAAATCGATGATAACTTGATGATTTGGAAATAGGATGGTTTATATTGAATATTTAATATTATTGGTATTATTGTTTTATATTCGTGAATTGTTTCCATGGCGTTAAAGGGCGACTTACTTTAGTCTTGAAAGTGTGTTTTTTTAAAAATGTTATATTTAGATCCAGTTCAGCAGCTTTTACCAACATGTTCATCATCACATGACCATAATGACATTTCCTTCATAAGATGTAAAATATAGTATTTAGCTCTTTATGCTATTTTTTTACATCATTTATAAATTCCATAATCACCTTCCTTATGACTTTCAGTACCTCAAAAAGAATTTAAAAAAAAAAGATAGGTGTAACAGATGTTATCATCTATTCCATCGTCATTACTTGGAAGCGAACCGAAGACCCGGCCCCTGGCTTTCTCATCTTACACTAAACCAATCAAACTAAAGAGAAGATTTCTCTAGCCAAGCAGTAGATTGAGGCTTGTATTTTACCAGGGATGCCTATGCCCCTCCAGGAAATAAATTCTGATTTTAGAAGAATTATTCCAGAGGCCATACATCAGAGCAAATATCAAAATGTCATTATTTACTTAAAGTTTTTGCATGGAATCAAATGTTGGATGCCTGGCCTACTAGTCTTGCACTCAACTAATAAAGCTGCTGAGTTCTCTCTAGCCAAACCATATATTACACCCATTACTTTACCAGCTAGGGTTACATATGCATCATCATAGCCAAAGATAATTAAAAGAGTATCATAATAGAAATGCATCACAATGTAATAAGTACCAGCTCTCAAATGTATTGAATTTTAATATTTTTAAGTTGCTGTTTATTGTGGACAATGATCCAGTCAGTATTAATTGATTATAACTGATAATGTGTTGGAGAAATTTTTGTTGGATAAATATGTGAACATTAATATCTGACCACATATTGACCTTATAAATGTTGAATATTGAATTTTCCTCAGTGTTACCCCATGTATTTTAAAACTGGGGCACAGTTTACCCTTAAAAATATAGTCATGTATGAGAGTCCCTGAAGACTGGGGGAACAAATCTTAGTTTTTTTTCTTCCCTCATTCAGGATTAATGGGGAACGCTGGTCCTTATCAAGTGTTCACTATCAAATGCTTTGTTAATTATGGATTTGGTGTTTATACATTGAACCAATTAATATATATATATAGGTAGATTTAAAGATACTGTTGCTTTTGTCTTCAGAAAAAAGTTCTAAAACAGATATCAAGTATGCAAAAGTATAGTGTCAAAAAAAAACCAGTAAATGAAATTTACCATATAACAAGGCACATAGATTCAGTAGTGTAATGATCATGTAATGTTTCAAGTCAAAATTTTGGAGATTTACATCATCATTATCACCTAGAATTCACCTGTCACTAATTATACAATAGGTATTTATGTCATGAATGTGAGAATTTATTTACCTCTCCTGAAAATGTATGTCAGACTTTGATGATTCTTTGTGAAAATACATGTACAGTCATATTTTATGATTATTAGCTATATAAGTCATATTGTTATTTGATTTTTTGCAGTAACTGTTCCCAGCATAGCTGAAAAAGGTCAGTATGTTTATATTGACAGTATCCAGAAAGGGCTAGTGTTTGTGAACTTGTAATCATTGAAATACAGAATCCCACAAAAACAAATACTTTAAATCAGAACATGAATATGTACAAATATTGTTTGATATCAAATTATTGACTATACATTGTGATTTTCTATACCATATTTTTCTGGATTATAAACCACAACTTTTTTCCTTATGAGTCCCTGCCCATCACATGTTTGTGACTGAAACAGATTGTCTAGAATTGTCACTTGCAATCTTGTACAGGATGATATGAAGATTGAAATAAAAATAGCATTCTTGTGGATTTTATTAATCATACCTTTTAATATGATCACAATAACATTTTCTGGACTTTCAAGGTTACTTTGAAGCCATAGTGGAAGTTTACAATAGCCTTTTGCATCCTGGTATCAATAGGTCATTGGGTTATAGGTCAAATTATATAACAACCACCATGCCTGTATATGATATGAATGGTTTTGTATAACTTAAAAGAAGAAATAATATGGAACTACGAAAGTTTGGTCAGCATACAAGGATCTATATTAATATTTAACAATACAGACACTGATGGAGATTGTTTAGTAAACTGCACATAACGTCAGGCCCTATATCTGTTTGTAGACAATCTGTGAAGGCACCCAAGCCAAAAAAGTTTGATATTTGCTATTTTATGCATTTTTTGAAATACATAGATAAAAGAAAGGATTATCTGTGTATAATTCATTTTCATACTTTATTAGATATTTCACTTATGATCTTGATAAAATTGCCCTCTGTTGTTTGTTATATCAACAAACTTTGGTCAACGTAATAGTTACCACTTCGTAAGAAAGGGCACAACTGATATTCCAGTGCGACTTACATGTGGATCAAATCTAAAAAGTCACTAAAAATGACTGTGGCTTATATCCTAAAGTGATTTATAATCAGGGAAATACAAAACTGAATATTTTAGCTGATACACTATATCACTCTTTACAAAACATATGAAATAACTGACCATGGCTAGGACTGTCAGGAATTTACGACCATGGGTAGGACTGTCAGGAATTTACGACCATGGCTAGGACTGTCAGGAATTTATGACCATGGCAAGGACTGTCAGGAATTTACGACCATGGCTAGGACTGTCAGGAATTTACGACCATGGCTAGGACTGTCAGGAATTTACGACCATGGGTAGGACTGTCAGGAATTTACGACCATGGGTAGGACTGTCAGGAATTTACGACCATGGGTAGGACTGTCAGGAATTTACGACCATGGCTAGGACTGTCAGGAATTTACGACCATGGCTAGGACTGTCAGGAATTTACGACCATGGCTAGGACTGTCAGGAATTTGTGACTTGTTGTTTGCGAGTTACATCTGTGTACAGCTATTACGGGTACAAAAGTTAATATACTTAACAGATAATACACTTTTTTCCAGTTGTGTACTTAATCCTTTATCATCCCCTGCTGATCGTCTTCATGTGGTCCTATGCACGCACAATAATGGCTGCTCCAGGAAAAGTCCCACGTCAGGTGTGTATAAAGCCAGTGTACTAGACTAGGCAGGCCATGTGATCAGAAGGTCTGTAATGTTTTCAAGTATTTGTAGGCAAAACTTTGTCCTCTGGGATAAGAGAACGAATTTATTTTGAAACTAGGCATAGGAACACAATCAGTAAGACTGAAGAAATGCTTGTTTCAATCTTGTTGTGTTTTCAATCTTGTTGTGTTTGTAAGGATAACGTTTCAGTTTTATTAAATATTAATTAGATTGCATAATTTTACCTGATAAGTCTTTATTTGGTTTGCTGGGTGTATTGCCCTGTGATCAGCCAGGGTCATTTTGAGGCCGGGTCTCTCTGCAGTTGCCATTAAAGGCAATTTTGGTAAAAGTCTCTCGCTCGATGACACAACCATGTCTGTATCTGAGCTTCTTGGGAAACACAAACCATCATGGAAAGGGAGTGTCACACTACACCTCAGATCTTCACACTTATGTAGTGCAACACTCTAACCAACTCAGCTGTTGCTACCACTTTCCTGATGTTTTGGATGTATATATATATATATAATTTGTAATCCAACATATCTGCAGGTTCTTTCAATTGTTAATCTTTTTATTTTTATATGTGATATATTTCTTTTTAATTCAAACATATTCTAAAAAATAAGATATTTCATTTTAAAAAATATATTCAAACATATTCTAAAAAATAAGATATTTCTTTTTAATTCAAACATATTCTAAAAAATAAGATATTTGTTTAACTATCTGTTAAGTTATATTTACCTACATATGTTTAAGTTTATCTCCCTAGTTATGCAAAATTGTTCAGAGTTTTCAGTTGACAGAAATTTTATGTTGCAGTTTTACTTAAATAAACAAGATTCTGACCGCCTGACAAGAGAAACAAATGAAGACATACAAAAAGCAATTTTAGTGAACGCTGCTAAGGATCTGCCAATAGTTAACAGAACATCATCAGGATGTAAGTAAATTCTTCTCCATACCAAAGTCTGCCAATAGTTAACATCATCAGGATGTAAGTAAATTCTTCTTCTTACCAAAGTCTGCCAATACTTAACAGAACATCATCAGGATGTAAGTAAATTCTTTGTCATACCAAAGTCTGCCAATAGTTAGCATCATCAGGATGTAAGTAAATTCTTCGTCATACCAAAGTCTGCCAATAGTTAACATCATCAGGATGTAAGTAAATTCTTTGTCATACCAAAGTCTGCCAATAGTTAGCATCATCAGGATGTAAGTAAATTCTTCGTCATACCAAAGTCTGCCAATAGTTAACATCATCAGGATGTAAGTAAATTCTTCTTCATACCAAAGTCTGCCAATAGTTAACATCATCAGGATGTAAGTAAATTCTTCATACCAAAGTCTGCCAATAGTTAACAAAGTCTGCCAATACTTAACAGAACATCATCAGGATGTAAGTAAATTCTTTGTCATACCAAAGTCTGCCAATAGTTAGCATCATCAGGATGTAAGTAAATTCTTCGTCATACCAAAGTCTGCCAATAGTTAACATCATCAGGATGTAAGTAAATTCTTCTTCATACCAAAGTCTGCCAATAGTTAACATCATCAGGATGTAAGTAAATTCTTCTTCATACCAAAGTCTGCCAATAGTTAACATCATCAGGATGTAAGTAAATTCTTCGTCATACCAAAGTCTGCCAATAGTTAACATCATCAGGATGTAAGTAAATTCTTCTTCATACCAAAGTCTGCCAATAGTTAACATCATCAGGATGTAAGTAAATTCTTCTTCATACCAAAGTGTTCAAGTCAAAAACAAGGAGAGAAAAAAATCATTGATATATACAGTAAACAAAGCATCCTTTTGATTTGATCATATTTTTTTTTTTTTTTTTGAGAAAAAAAAAACAAACAAATGTAAATGATGATTTGGAAAAAGGTTATAGCTGATAACAACTCTGGATTGTTACCTACTCATTGTTCAATACAGTACATACATCAATTATTGCCTGTGTGGTTTGATAATAAGATATTTAGAATATTTACATTTGTGATTAGTAAGAAGATGTTCTTTAATCAAGTTCTGCCTTTGTTTGCAGTACCACGCTATTGTGAAAAGTGTAAATGTATAAAACCAGACAGATGTCATCACTGTTCTGTGTGTGGGGCGTAAGTATATCGCCTGTTATCTACTTCAAAGTTCAATACTAAATATTTGTAGTTAAAAAACAATTATTATAATGAATAAGATTGTAAGAATCCCATAGATTATACACAATGAGGTGGTTTCCTATTTCTTTTGTTGTCCTAACAATATCATTTTAGTTTTAGGAGTTGTTTATTTTAGTTTTAAAGATTTAATTGACATTTAAAGGGAATTTGAAATTTCCAGTTTTTGAAATGGCATCACATTTTCCTGTTCAGAATCTCTTCTAGTGAATTGAAGGATGTGTTATTCCTTGATCAGCAATGGAGACCTTCATAGCTGAACCAGACTAATAATACGTTATAAACAGATAAAAGAAAATCCTTAAAGGGTTTTAACTAGAATTTTCACAGATAAAGTACGGGGTACTATATGTGAGATGTATATGTCCTATTTCTCTGTTTTACATTCCAGATGTGTATTAAAGATGGACCATCACTGTCCATGGTGAGTGTTAGATAAGATACTAAGTATTATTTAAACATTTTCAGATGATTTCTTGGTATTAAAACTTTTAATTGATTCTCCTAAATGATATCTCATCTTTATAAAATTTCCAGCTAATTTAAATAAGACACAAGATGCTATTTTAGTCAGATTTGAATTGTTGTTTGCTAATTTAAAACAGACACCATAGTGATAATATTGCCTAAATGTTGTCTTGAAAGTTGTATTCTGTACACAGTGAAATAATACAAAATGTCCCTGTACTCTTCTGTAATTAAACATGGTATATTTTTCAATGTCAAGCTTCAATACCTCAGTGTTTTAGACACTTCATATCTAGCTGCCATGTAAGGATATGATAGAACTAGGACAGTGGTTAGGTGTGCTGAATTTACCAAGGAAACAATATAAAAAATAAATGTGGGTTGTTTTGCTTTTTCAGGGTGAACAATTGTGTGGGTTTCACAAATTACAAGTTTTTTGTACAGTTTTTGGGTTACGCCCTTATATACTGTTTATATGTAGCTGCTACATCTGTGAAATATTTCATTTTGTTTTGGTCGGTAAGTACAGACATTTTCTTTATAGATATGTATAATTCTATCCTGAAGATACCTTGATATCTTACAGTTACTATAGCAACCAAATTTTGTGTAGGTTCATCATAGTGTGTATACAACACAAGAAGGAAAATACAGAGATTTCTGATATTTTCATCAATAAATATGAAATCTTGATGGATTTAGAGAACTGGCAACAAATTCAAAGATGTTTTAATTGGCTCAATATTTTGAATAAAGTAATTTTGATAAATAGAATTTTGAAAAACACACCATCTGCTCAGTCAGCCATTTTTGCATTTTGAATATAACTTATTTCAAAGACTCATATTGCAGGAGTAGTGGGACATGAAAAAATATCCAGGAATTCTTGTTAAAGGAGATTTTACTTACAACCAGTGTTATTTTTTTCCCATGGTTCCAGTGTGATTTCAAACTCCTGCCTCAATCCCACATATATCAGCAATCCTGTCTGGCACGTTGATTAAAACTTCTGATTAAATTTTATTGATAGGGTGAAGGTAATCGAGACATGGGGAAGTTTCATGTGCTTTTCCTCTTCTTCGTGTCCATTATGTTTGGGATCAGTTTAATCTCCCTGTTTGGTTACCACTGTTACCTCACTGCTAGTAACAGATCAACACTAGGTAAGTATAAACATGTCACATACATATATATCACAGATTTACCTATAGTATAGAATCATATTTATTCTTGTCTACCTTTAAATAGTGTTTTGTAAATGAACAGCAATGTGATTTTGATTTCTGTTTCATAGAAATAATGCTGAAATTCAAATTAAAGAAAACTTATCTACCCTATTAAGTTTGTAGGACCACTTTTCTGCCACAGATCAGGCTGCTGCATGTAGTAATATAAGTCCTATCAATTTCATCGTTTACTATTATTTTAGTTAATTTAAACAATATTTTGATTCAATATTCATTAATTTAACACATACATATATATTTTCCTTACTTTCGTTTTTCATTTTTCAGAGGCATTTAGATCGCCAATTTTCCAAAGTGGTCCAGACAAAAATGGCTTCAGTTTGGGAAAGTATAGTAACTTTATTGAAGTCTTTGGTGAAACAAAGAAGCAATGGTTTCTGCCCATTTTTTCAACGTAAGTAATTTTGACATGTTCATAAAAACGTTTTCGATGGAATGAATGGATTGCCATTGGCTGTCAGACATCTGCTCCCTAACAGTTGAGGTGGCTGTCGCACGAGAGTTGATGAGTAAATGAATGAAATAATGTCAGACAAAAATATCTTCAGCAATAAAAGGAGAAGAATCAGATAATTTTTTTTTTGGTTGGGGGTGGAAATTTATAAAATAAAAGTCTTCAAGGACCAACATTGTATTACACTGCCACCTATATATGGTATAGCTGTGGCTGGTTGGTCTTGAAGTTAGGGAAATATTTGTCATTTGGAGGTTTCCCAACTCAGTAAAAATGTGATAGATTAAAAAAAAGTTATCAATCAATGAATATAACAATATTTATGTTCAATGTAAAATGAATTAAAAATGGTAACAAAAGTTCTTTTTGTTTGTTTTGTTGGTTACCATGGTAACAGTCAAAGAGACGGGGTGTCCTTTCCTACTCGCACGAAGCAAGCTAATACGTACCAAACAATGGGTAAAACTCCAAGGTTAGCTCTGCCTTTTCCCTTATACACTTGTATTGTGATACTAAGGATTTCATAGATATATGTTTGTATCATTGTGGCTTTGTCATCCTGGACCAACACTAATGCTCTGTATCTGCGATGCAGTTGTTTGAAAATTAGATATTGTACTCTGTCCCATTTAGCCATTTTTTATTTTGAAGTGTATGGTTGAGGTTGAACATGGCATTCTTGTGATGTTTCATTAATGAATATCTCCAGAAATAATTTTTATAAGAAAAAAATATCTTTGAAATTGAAATAAAGGGCAGGAGATAAACAATTGTATTGATCTTAACAAGTAAGAAGATAGTTTTATTACACGGATGAGTACTGTATCAGATTTTCATAACATTGTCTGCAATTTTCTTTTTAATAACACTTTACTACATGTATGTAACAGTTAACTTTCTCAAAGTTCATCCATGTTTGTACCTGTGTCTCACTCTCTGTAGAAGCTAACACTGTATGCTGTCTCATTAAGGGTACTAAATGCATGGATTGCCTGGTTTTTGAATTTGCACAAAAATGTAGTGAAATAATATATAAAGCACTAGACTAATCATTATGGATGAAAGACTACACATGGCAAATTATTTCTACAGCTCTGTTTCCTTGATTCCAAATGTTATGACAGGTTGCACTAGATTTGGTAATTTATGAAATAGAGATCTAGAAATTAGATGTCATTGTCTGGTAAGCCTTGACAGAGATTTCAAGCTTTGTAAACGTTTCCAAAAAGGGAAGATAACTCTATCAAACACTTTCTTTAGAGTAAAAGTTTGAATTTGATGTATTCGTGTGTCAAATTCTTAATTGGAAAATAATAACTCATAAAATATTGTGTTTGTTATTATATAATTTACTCTGTAATATGATTTTAAAGTTTCTGTATGATAGGATTATGTTCTGTATGTTTTGTTTTCGGCTTTTTTACAGTGCATGCTTGCCAGTTTTATACTTTCTTCTCTTACTTAGTTTAAATATGCTTTTGTTGTACGTTTACAAAAACAGAACGATACATTCTTTATCAAATATTTACAATTTTAAATGCATTTTTTTATCATTTCAAAATGATGTTCAAAAACTGACACCTATATAATATACTAATTTTTTTTCTTGTTCTAAACTTCCATTTTAGCTTTTCTTGATAATGGTATATGTTATTGTAACTCTTGGTTTCAAAAATGAACAAAGTATGAATTCTGTTAAGAGAAGAAACGTAATTATCATTGCTGTATTTCTTGATTTTCATGTGAATGACAGATGAACTCTATTGTAGTTGCCAGTGACATATATTTCTTACTAACTTAATTGTTTTTTGAAACAATGTTTCTTAATCTTTTTATTACTACATATATCCTGTTGTTTGTACATGATGCTTACTAATTAACTATCAAAGGTTAAGGAAAGGTCTTCACCTATAAAACATACATGTCTAGGATTTATGTGGCAAGTTTGACCTTCTTCCCAGGCAAAACTAAATTAATAAATCATTCGATAATTAAATAAAAAAAATCCATTGTCAGAATTGTTAGTATACAGAATGTTCTAAAGAGGAAATTTTGTTAATATGACTTTGAAAATAATTAGGAAGGTGGAGAAAATGAAAATCTGTTGATTACATGTCATCACTCTAGACAGGGTAATGTTGATATGTAAGTATGCATGTGTAGATGATAATTTCCAGGATACAACATTTTTCTAAGTTGAGCATTTTTCCTCTAAAATTCCATAATAGTTAAGGGTCAGTGGGGTTCCTGTCCCCTGATAATCTATTATTGTGCTTTGACCATTTACCTTAGTTGATTTGTTTTCTTGATTTGTAGATTTTTAAAGATACAGAAAACTTTTTAAAAATGGCAAAATACATAAATCTTGGTACATGTAATACATTGTATATGAAAGTAGTTGTTTTTCTTGAGTGATTGCTTCTTAAAAATCATCAGAGCTAACCTTTGACCCTTGTGCCAGTAGCTGTGGGATGTGGAAGGGGCACTCTGCTCTACAAACAGTTAAGGGCTACCATCTGTTTGATATATATGTCTTAATACTTTCTTTTTCCATATGTTTTGTACTTAATAATGGAGAATTATGTACTTGGCATGAATCTGCATATAATTATTGAATTCAATCAATTAGGAAGAGAAATGGAAGGACATAAGGTATCCTTGAGGAATACCCACTTAGGTTTGTTTGTGTAGATTTCAGTAGAGAATGCTATTCTGATCTATAAACATAATCAGGATGTCTATATTACATCATAAGGATTACATAAGTTTTATCTTGTATTCAGAATTAATTACAAATGTAAAACATAAAATTCTGTTTTATTTGTTATATTTGAGATTAAAGCACAGGTCAAATGTAAAAGATTGAAATTACGATTAAAGTAAGAGTATGGTTTTCCTTAATTCACATTGGCTTTAAATAGAACTTACATGTATAATTAGTATAACCCACCAGTATCTTTTCTATTTTAGTGACATTATATTACTTGGTGGATAACTGATTTACCTCCGACTCTTTTATGAATATATTTACAAGTATTAACCAATTCAATATTCCATGTGGCAGCATTAATCTGAAACTTTTGAGGATTACTACAATCTGTGATATCATTTTGGTCTATGCATGTTTTGCATTTGAGCTTTTCACGGTGAAACTTTCCACCTGTTTGTACTTTATACCTTGCATGACTTTTTTCTCTGTGTATGATGACAAGCATTATCACTATGGTGATAAAGATTTTGCACCATTTCAATTCTTTATAGTGAAATTAACTTTTCCATGATATTCCTTGCTAGTCTCTCTGAAGAACTAGGATACATGTTATATCTAGACACTGGGTACAGGTACATTAACTTTCCCTAAGTCAGACCCCACTATAATGATAAAGTTATTGTGTAGTAAACATTGGCTGTAGAACATGTGAGTATAGAACATGTGTGTCACTATGGACCTTGTGTTACAGTGTGGGAGATGGTATTACCTATCCAACACGTACAGTCGACCTGGACAGTGATGGTCTGCTGGCCGAGCGACAGAGGTGGATGGAGGAGGGAGGAGATTTAGGTATATTGTAACTATTGATGAATGGGGTGGTTGGGTGGCGCAGTGGTAACACACTCGTCTTTCACTTAGGCATGCGGGGTTCGATTTCCGAAAACAGATGTGACAAGGTAAGGTGTCACCTGCCTAAACAAGTTAGAAGTGTAAGTTGAAATAACATGATTGTAATTGTTGTAAAATTATCAAGTTAATGCTGATATTTATTGATGAAAGCACTGGCTAGAGCTTCTGGTGCTTTAAGTATACTCATCAAAATAATTGCGCAGTCATAATTTCACAAAAGTTAAACTGCTGTGATAAAATGATAAAAAGCAAGTCTAGATATCATTACTTGGGAAAACAATGAAAACAAATTATTTGGAAATCTTGTATTTGGAAAAAATCTGGATAAAACATTTAAAATATACCAAGGTATTATGATGAATGACAAATATCCCCTGAGGGAAATGTGTGATCATGTTTTATCTCTTACTGTAAAATCATATATATTTTCATTGGACGAAAACTTTGCAGTGTTAGGAAAATGTATATTTCTGTCGGCACTTAATTGCATAAATAGGTCTTGCTTTTAACATCCACAAGTCCTATTATCCATGTTGATTTTTCTCCACTTATTATTTCATGGATCTATGAATCTGTGTATTTTGAATATTCTTGAATTTAACAATAATAAATCCCTCCTGAAAATAAATGGTTAGTATTGTTTGTGATTAGGATTTGTTAAAGACAACGAAGATAAACGTTAATATGTAGTCTGATTCTTGGATTATTACAGTGTACATGTTTACCTATATAGCTATTAGTCTGTTTCATCAATTCATCTTTTTTTCTTCATTTACCAGTTTTTCTCGGTTAATCCATCATGTTGATTTGATTTAACAGATTAGATATTTTGTTTATGCGTAAACTTAACCGAGTTGGTTACATTTTGGACCTGTTTAATCTTACCTTAAAGGGGAAGGCAGGAGTAGGGGTACAAGTAAAATTCATCTTTATTAACGTCTGTGTGGATGAAAGTTTCTGATGATTCATATTTGTTGCTGTGTTGATGCAGTTGATTTACTTTTCATCATGATCACTGTCTAAAGTTAATGAGTAGAACAATAATTTCATCTTCCCCTCTTTTTGTGTGTGGATTCAATGTTTTTGCCCTGCCATTTTCATGGAGTAAGGGGTGGTAGTTTTAGTTCCATCATGTTCATCCTGTATAAGTCAATGTCTTTACACTAGTGACTTCATTTCTGAAAAGATTTCTGTCAGAACCTAAAAAAATGGCAGATGATGAGTTCAAGCTTCAGGGTTCCTAGGTCAAGGTCACTGTTACAATCTGTATGAGGAAGGGCATTCATGTCCTACAGATATATTCTGGGTTTCTTTTTGACAGTTTTTCTTGTCAACTGCGTGGAGTATTTTTGATTGGAAGATCCCTGTTCAAGGTACAAATAGGGGTATGTGAAATAGGTACAGTACCGACCTCCCTCCTAGAAAAGATTAAAACTGTCCTTGTTCAATAATTTGCAGACACAGTGTAGCTAATGGTGTTACACCATTCAAACTTGTGAACAACAAAGACAGTTACACCTGGAGAAACTGTGGACTCCTTAGACAAAGATAATGTGATATTGTAGACAGGATTTCTGTTTTAGGAGACAACACTGGCTCTAGTCAACAGTTAATAGCCATGTCTCAAGACTGACTCTACAGGTTTGTGGGTGATCAATATTTCTGCATGGCCTGTGAAATAATTAACTTAAACTTGCATGGAGTAAATGGAAGTGTTTTGATTGGGGTTACCTATGTCATTTTGTCCCCAGCTTTTTATCTCCAGCTCTGTCAAACAACATCTCTTCACCAGATACTGTCTTGAAAGGTTTTGTCTAGATTCATTTCTGTTAACTGATCAATGAATGTTGATCTCGTGAGGAGATTGCTAATCTTCATACTACATGTATTCACAAACCACCTCATGTACATTCTGTTATGTACTAAGTTCAAGTATTTGTTAGCATAAGACTGTGTTGGGATCAGTTGTCCAAAAAATCATGGCTAACATTACTGACCAATGGGAAACATTTTTGCATTGATCATCTGCAGTGGAAGTCCTAAAGCCCTGTATGAAGTTTGACATATTTTGATTTTTTTTTTTTTTTTTTTACCTAATGCATCTTTAAGTCTCATAATTGTGTCATACAACATAATTGTGTCATACAACATGATTGTGTCATACAATTGTGTTTTATTTTTTCATTATTTTTTCTTCATATAGCATCCGAGGATGACACTGTACAAACTAGGTATTAACCATGGGTTTATAGCTTTATCGCTGAGGAATGCATGGGTACGGTATTCAATATTTTATGTAGCAGAAACTATACATTGGTGTTTTCCAGTTTTTCACTAGTAAACTTACCCAGTGTTATTGCACAAAACTTATAAAATAAACCCAGAGATCAGCATTCTCCACCATAACCTCGTTAATGTCACTTAATATCAGTGAATATATGTATTTTTATAGGCCCATCAGGAAACTCATATATCCTCATTATAGCACTAATATACCAGAGGTGTGTGAAGGCTGCCTGCACCATATATCCACCCCTCAGCCTTAAAGTCAGGAATTTTCCTGTTGTCTTCAGTCTGATTTTATATGACATCAGTTAGTGATGTCCTGCAATAAGAGGGTAAAATTGGGCAACACATTACATCTCGCTCAAAGTTACAGAGATGGGCATATAACAAAATTTCATTAGCATTTTCTGACATTTCTGATGAATCTGAAAGATGTTTGAATGGGCTTTTTACCAGGCATGGGGTTATTGTCAGATAGAAATATGTATGAATGGGCTTTTTACCAGGCATGGGGTTATTGTCAGATAGAAATATGTATGAATGGGCTTTTTACCAGGCATGGGGTTATTGTCAGATAGAAATATGTATGAATGGGCTTTTTACCAGGCATGGGGTTATTGTCAGATAGAAATATGTATGAATGGGCTTTTTACCAGGCATGGGGTTATTGTCAGATAGAAATATGTATGAATGGGCTTTTTACCAGGCATGGGGTTATTGTCAGATAGAAATATGTATGAATGGGCTTTTTACCAGGCATGGGGTTATTGTCAGATAGAAGTATGTATGAATGGGCTTATTACCAGGTATGGGGTTATTGTCAGATAGAAATATGTATGAATGGGCTTTTTACCAGGCATGGGGTTATTGTCAGATAGAAGTATGTATGAATGGGCTTATTACCAGGTATGGGGTTATTGTCAGATAGAAATATGGTTATATGGAGCCATAACACACAACAAACAGAGCACCAAAGGTTGAAGTTTTTACCTGTAAGTAAGTTTAGCTTTATCGCCACAAATGGCTATGACCTTGTATAACAGACCATTTCTTTTGAGAAAATTTCAGTGAATGAAAACATTGCATTCAAGAAGGCCAAAATACACCATGATAACAAGGGAGACAACTCTTGTGTCCTAAGCATGCCTTGTAACATGTTCTTTTAGCAATAAACAATGAAAGCTCCTCCCTGATAGATGCATCCCTATCCCCTACCTTCATTTATCATCTCACTGATGGTGTTTGTGATATTTTATATGCATCTGCCCTGAAAATCATCAAAACTTGAGGGAGGCTTAACACTGTTAGAGAAAGTAAGTCTAGTGCTTTCAAAATGACACAAAAGGAAGTGAAGACTATAAGTTGCTCATGAGAGATAGGATATTATATAGATCAAATTCCATATTTAGTCATTAGGATTATTATCTCTGAGGTCTAAAGTAAGAGAGTGTTGTTTGCCTCAGTTTTTCTCTGGCAGCATGTGGATCCCATTGCCTACACTTAACCTGTTATTCTTCACTAAGGGATGCCATTTCTAAAAATGTCCACAATACCCTTCAGAATTTCCCTACAGACCTACAGCATGTTGCAGTTGGTTTGAATTGCTTCACATAGTCAATACAATCCTGGTCTGTATGTTGATATTGACCTCTGAGTATGCTTTCACCTACCTAAACATTGTTGTTTTATAAAAAGTGGTGAATATTTTATTTGAATTTATTACTAATATTAACTAAAAGTATTCAATCTGACTTACAGGTCAGAGGTCAGTTTTAGGGAATAAAGGCATTATTAAAATAAGCTTTGTCATGTAGACATGTTTAGAATACTATTTCAAATGCTGACTATAGAAGATAACCCTAGTACTGCCTTTCATTATTATCATGATAACATCAGTTTGCTTGTCCTCACATCAAATTTAGCTTTACCATGCCATGAATTTTTGGAGTTTTAAATTCTTTGTTACACAGTCAACGCCCTCCCTTACTTTGAGGGACAGTCTTATTTGTGTCTTTATTTAGTTATAGACTCAGTTCATTGTCACTAAGGTCGCTGAAAATTCTGTAAAAATCCTAATAATCATTTCCAGTTAGTCCAGTAGAAAAATAGGGTATCATAACTCCTTTGTTTGAACATTAGATATTTGAAATATAAGGGGACATCTGAGATGTCTCTATGCAGGACAGTTTGTGTTTTTCAGAGAGCTGAATCAGCAAATTGTTTTGTGTGTTGTTGTGCCCTTCGGCAAGACTCTTTACTCCAATTGCTTTAGAGAACATACAGAGGGCATCTGACATAGTGTTCAGTAAGGTAGCCAGCAGATACTACAGGAAGATTCTAAATTATCCTGGCTGTTGAAAGGACGATAGACCTGGCTAATAAAATCACTAGAAATCAAGGGAGCCTTGATAGCATTGGTTTATGGTTCTGTTTTGTCAAAATCAGATCTATTTAGATTTTTAAATTAAACATTGATTTTTTTGTGAAAAAAATGTATGGTTTTACGGTAGACAATTAGTGAAATATTATTGTATTACCAGTATACCTCAAACGAATGACGGTATTTTCATTTATCACTCATTTCATATTCTGTCATGTAGAATAAGATGACTTCATTCAAATTATATTTTGTATGCATAGAGAAATAACCTTTAACAAACTTTGTTGATGTTTCAAAGAAGTTGTGATATTGCTTCTGTCAAAACATGTTAAAAATTAAAAAAAAAAAAAAAAAAAAAGAAATTTACCCACAGTTTATATTGTGATATGAATTTGTTACAGGAAATAGTTATGGTGCCCATGACAACACCGGGATGAACCTTGAGCTGAGATAGTGGTGTTTGCTGATAAATGAAGAGATAATGAGGCTGTGCCCTTTGGTCTGAAGTGACTTATACTAGCAGTTCTTTGTTACAACATGTGGAACAGTGGTGTCTCCTAGTGAGAGGTAATGACTGATAAGGCACCCATTTGTGGTAAACTACTGAAAAACAAAAGATGTTCTAACGAGAAATTTATTCCTGTAGAGTGAAATCTGACTGGGAGTAAGGTCAAGGTAACAGTGACTCTCACTATGGAGTAAATTCTGACTTGACTTGAGCTCCCTGCTGAGGTAAAACTGACTGATAAAGGCACTGCATGGTGAGTGAAATATGACTGATTGTGATTTCCTCTGATAGAAGAGTTCCGGATGCAGGCCAGCCACGAGACTATTTTGTCATCATGGTTCTGACTATGACCAACTCAAATAAATTTTCATGGATCAGATGAAGCTCAGAAATTCACCTTTTATACACTGCATCTGCACTGAAAGCTGGTGGTCACTTTTGGCACCAAGGTTGTCATCATGACAACAGAAGATATCAACAGTTTGCCTAGGTGTGTCAGCATGGCAACCAAAGATATCAACAGTTTGCCTAGGTCTGTCAGCATGGCAGCCAAAGATATCAACAGTTTGCCAAGGTCTGTCAGCATGGCAGCCAAAGATATCAACAGTTTGCCTAGGTGTGTCAGCATGGCAATCAAAGATATCAACAGTTTGCCTAGGTCTGTCAGCATGACAACAGAAGATATCAACAGTTTGCCTAGGTCTGTCAGCATGGCAACCAAAGATATCAACAGTTTGCCTAGGTCTGTCAGCATGGCAGCCAAAGATATCAACAGTTTGCCTAGGTGTGTCAGCATGGCAACCAAAGATATCAACAGTTTGCCTAGGTGTGTCAGCATGGCAATCAAAGATATCAACAGTTTGCCTAGGTCTGTCAGCATGACAACAGAAGATATCAACAGTTTGCCTAGGTCTGTCAGCATGGCAACCAAAGATATCAACAGTTTGCCTAGGTCTGTCAGCATGGCAGCCAAAGATATCAACAGTTTGCCTAGGTGTGTCAGCATGGCAACCAAAGATATCAACAGTTTGCCTAGGTCTGTCAGCATGACAACAGAAGATATCAACAATTTGCAAAGGTCTGTCAGCATGGCAACCAAAGATATCAACAGTTTGCCAAGGTCTGTCAGCTAACAGCCAAGGATCTCAACAGTTTGCTAAAATCATGATTTGTTCATGAAATGGTCTGTGAAAGTTGTAAAGATCTACAGATGTGTCTCTCACATTCCCTATGGAGAGTTTCTGTAAATTATACCCTGAAGTACAGAAGTAAAGGGAAGTCTGGGTATGGCTCACTAGTAACACACACAAGCTGTATAGTATTACTTTACTTTTTACCTAAAACAGTAGTTTTAGAGAATGCACTGTTTTACACTGTCATTCCCAGTTATAACTGTGTTATAGTGTCACATTGGTGATAGTTTTCTTGGTTCATTTGGCTGTGAGTTAGATTGTAGCTAACCTGTAATTAACCTTTCTGTTTATTTGAATGACCAATCAAAGTTGATAAGAAGGACAATTCACAAGGTCAATAAAATGAGTTGCTTTAAGGGTCATGGGTAATATTGCGGGGACAGGGTGAATTGACCAATACTTGTTGTATAATTACACAATATGGTAGAATAATGAATGATTTTCTCATGGGGCTTTAAATTGAATGTATAATGTTTACATATTTATTTATTTTTCTACAAGCTGAGAATTACTTTTATCATCTCCAAGTTGTACCTACATGTACAATATATTAGATTTTGTTGAATAAATTATTTGATGAAGAATTTTTCTGTTCTTTTCCTCTTCAGATAATTTGATTTGATTACCAATATGAAGAATTATGTGATAAGGTTATACAATCCATAAAATACATTGGTTTTGATATTTATTGTATAACATCATCATTTATCGTGTAATTGCATAGGTACCACAACTATTGTTAAATTTTACTGAGTATAGGCCTTGCTCAGATATAAGCCCACCCACCTATATTTTTTTTGCAATTCCATATCAATCCTATTTCAGCGAGTGAAAAAAACATATATGGTTAGTGGTCTATTATTGATTGAGAAGGATATTTCATATGGAAATACAGAGTTAAGAATTTATTGAAATGAGATGGACAAATGACAGGAGGTAGGAAATTTTCTTTTCAATGGTTTATTCAGCATGATTAAGACTTAAAAATTACTGCTACTTGATAAATATATTGTATATATAATATGTTGTATATGAACTTATCACATCATCAACCTGTTATTACATCTTGAATTGAAAATGAAGCAACAAAATGGCTGTCTGAATTTAATTTTGTGCTTCATATTTTTACTTTAAAACTTGTCACATTGTAACTTCATTGAGTTATGTGATAAAAAATATCTGAAATTTGTTTTCCTTCCCTATGAGATTTTATTAAGATGGTCTCCCAAGTTTAAATTTCAGCTTGCCAAGGCTTGCAAAAATAAAAACTTTTAAGACTAAATTCGTAAAATTCATAGGAAGTGAAATCTCATTTAAGATGTATATTGTATATGTGTTATGTGATATGTTTTATCTGATCTCATCTATGTGGTATGAGGCTGAATTTAAGACACGTAATGTTTGTGTTGTTGTTGAGTTTTAGTGTCCATTTGAGAGAGTATTTACATTTATTTCTTGATTTACTTGAAAAGGATTTTGTAGATTTTTCAGAGTTTTTTATTTAAATCCAAATAAAACAATAGAAAGTGGGAAAACTGAAACTATTCTTTTTCTTTGAAGAAATTTACTTTGTAATATATAAATGTTTAAAGGAGGCAGTGCTGGGGGGAAATATTCTACAATGGATGATAACGTGTGTAGAGGCAATCTGTTTTTCTGCTCAGGATTTTAAAGAGATAACCTGTAATTTCTAAACTTGACGAGTAAGAACCATGTTTACCTGTAATTTCTAAACTTGACGAGTAAGAACCATGTTTACCTGTAATTTCTAAACTTGACGAGTAAGAACCATGTTTACCTGTAATTTCTAAACTTGACGAGTAAGAACCATGTTTACCTGTAATTTCTAAACTTGACGAGTAAGAACCATGTTTACCTGTAATTTCTAAACTTGACGAGTAAGAACCATGTTTACCTAAAACCTACCACTAGAAAAAATCATAATATCTATCCAGAGTCGAGTTTCAGCGAAAAACATCCACTGACCTGTACTGTGATCCTCTAATTCTGTTTTTAACAAGTCCCATGTATCATTGTACTTACAAATTTTCACAGAGAAATACTTTAATTCAAGACAGAGTGTTGGCTATTTGTAATTTTTGCTTGTGCTGATGAAAGCATGGTAACTGAGAGGGTCAAATTTTGTTTTCAAGATTTTCAATATTATCTTACAAAAAGTCAGTGCCTGGTAATATAAGCCAAAGTGTGTGTATTTATTTTTAAGCCAAAGTGTGTGTATATTATTTTTGTTAGAAGCACCAACTAATGCTGTTAAGTATTATAGTACCGTACTTTGAGATCAGGTATGTGTCTGTGTTATGGGCTTTGTGTTGGATAATCTGTATCCTATTTTGTAGCTTTTAAAAGTTTCTTTAGGTTTGCTATGATTTTAGCTAAGCAACACCTTTCAGCTGATAAAAAATATACTGGTTCCATAGATTTAAGTCACAAAGACATTTGAAAACTTCACTTAAAAAAACCTTGTTGAATGCTGTATCATATTTGACTGAATTCATTTAAAAGTTTGTCTTTGACTGTAAATGCTGCATTAATCCACAAGTATCTTTGTGTGTTCAGTCATGGTTATCAACTGATCCGTTAATTTGAACCAGAAGTTGTGTTTGCCTCTACTTACTGCAGGACAAATAAGCTTACTAAATGCATTGGCCAATTAGTATGGTCAATATTATCAACAGATATCTACAGGTCTATATATAAGCTTACTGGGTAGTGTGTTTATCCTAGATCTACTCTGTTTGGCATGAAGTTGTTATATTATTACTGTATTTATCGAGTAATAAGCCCATATCTGACGATAAGTCCATCATTATCTGTAACTCTCAGATTGGGACATTTGAACAGTTGAAATACCATGTAAGAAGATACAGATATTTATGTATTATCAAACTGCTGTAGGTCAAAGATTCAAGGAATGGTTTGTTTACATCAATGTTTATTTATTTAGTGTGTTTTACATAAAGAATTCTGCTTCAATTGTATCACTTTTTTACCATGCAAACAATAAAATTAATTTACAAAATGTAGCCTATTTGTTGAATTCAGTATAATTCTTTCTTGTTAAATAGAAATACCTTAAACACAAGTAAATTGCCTTCACCAACTGAATTTTTTTATAAGTCTATACAAATAAATAATCCAATAGTTATATAAGGTTTCGTTAAGAAATGTCTTACTGTTTATATATTGTGTTTGTTTATAATCTAATTTATTTCACTATCACAAGCACAGCAGCTTTATCTATATTCTGCCCTCATTAAACACATATAGAGAGAGAGATGATCTATTGATGAAATTGTTACTGATTTTCATTACAGTGTGTAACCGAGAGTAACATTTGGTACACTGTATTATGGTTATTTCTAAACATTTTATAAGTGTGTTCATTTGGTGATTTTAATTTTGTTTAGCTTGCTTAATAGAATATTGATTTTTTTAAATCATATAAATTCTTGATATGTAATGGTTATGAAAATCTAACATTTACGGTTTGAAAAAATGTTGGTACAAAAAGATGTATCAGAATAAAACCTTGGACCATTAATTGCTAACAATTCACCCAATCAATAATCCGTTCAGCTTTTACTTTAGATAATCCTGTCACCTTTTTTTTTTAATTGATAATTCAGTCACCTCTATACCCAATAAATAAACAACTGTATTACCAGTAGATAATCCAGTCACCTTCATTCCCAGTAGATAATCCAGTCACCTTCATTCCCAGTAGATAATCCAGTCACCTTCATTCCCAGTAGATAA